ACCAAAGGGGAAGGGACAAAAACAAAGCAAGTATTGAACGGTTTGGCTGACCCAAAAAGCAAAGCCATCGAAATTCCAATGGTCTGGGTCAAAGAGTGTCACATCGCCGAAGACGCCCTGGCAAATCGCGGGGTGGACAGTAGCAGCAGCAGTAGTTTGCAGTTGCCAGCCTTGTATTGTCTCATATTCCTTTTTTCTCGCCATTGCTGCTGGTGGTTGTCGACTTGTCTCTCGTCGCCTGGTGCTAATAGATCTATCGCCAATGAGAGACAAGGGTTCTCTGTCTTTGTCTTGTTTGTCTCGAGGCTGCGTGTCCCTCTCCTTCTCTCTCCATTCGGCAACTTCATCTCGTCTTTCAGCTCCTCTCGTCCGTAAACAAGATATTGCTTTTTTTTCACTGTCGTTACACACTGCCTTTCTCGGTGAGAGGTACCGGTGTGACAGCTGAAAGCTGGACACCCCTCGGTCCATATCTATTGTAGTCAAAGTCGTTTCTATATTTTCTTTTTCTTCTGTTTGATGTCTTAGGAACTCCGCCCATCAATCAGCCGTCTTAGACAAGTCCCATGTATTGGCAAAATATTGACAATGCTTGTCTGTGAGACGGATTCAGCCCCACCAAAAGCTGAGCAGTAACGGTAAGCGGTCTAGCTGGCTTATAAAACGGATGACCCACCGTTTCCCCCCCCCCCCCCCCCCCTTCATATCCCTCCCCCACCGTTTGTTGGGCTGTCGTTGGTGGACTTGTCACTCTTTCCCTTTACCCCGGCCATGTCTCTCCTTCCCACCGCCCAGACAGGCTTCACCGTAATCCATACATCATCATCACATCAAAATGGCCAAAAAACCACCACCACTGCCGCAGCCTGCAGCAAGCACCACGAAATCTGTAACCGAACCCCAGTCAGCCCAGCCTGCACGTCGAGGTCAGCTGGCCCTACCAAAGAATGAAGAATAAGGAATGAGCCAAAAAGGCCAAAAATGGGTACCATTCCCATCACACTATACCACACCCCCTGGTCCCGTAATCCCGCATTGCGCCGCAACGAAGGGGAAAAAACAGCCAACCTCGCAACGATCATGGCCACGTTGCTTTCCCGTATCCGTCTTCCCGGATTTCGCAGCCTGGCCGAAAGAACCGCCGCCAATGCCTGCTGACGCCGCTGCAAGCTGCTGATGTTGATGCTGCTGATTAGTGATGGGAACCCCAACCATAACCGAACTCCCGAGGCTGTGTTTGCCCTGTAGCCTATACCAAACCGGTCCGCCGGGGTGGGCAGGCAGGCAACAAACATGGCACGCCGGGTACCGTAACACGGTTGAACTGCCGCAGTCGCCAAAATGGCAGTCTGACATCTAGGGTACATGAGATTGATGTCGTGTTGGAAATGAAGGGCGTGGACGTGGCTGAGCACCATCAAGAACGCCCGACAACAGCCCTGCTGAAAATAAAGCTCGCAAAACCAGCCAGCCAGACAGCAGCGACATCTCGTAAAACGACGCCTAGTCGTTACCGCAATAAAATATACAATGACAGTACCAAGCCCTCCGATCCAGATCCCTGGATCCTCTCTGCCCCTCCCACCCCGACTATCGTTGTGTGGTGATTGATCGAGCATGTGGTGCGCACCGGGCAGCTGGGACCGTTCAAAGCCTCACGCCGCCTGGATGTATCCGTAACGCTTCTGGAAAGGGACGTTGATCTTCATTTTCAATTACACAACCCGTCGAGGCGGAAGTTTCCCGCTGCCACGTCCTTCAAAGGCTTGAGCTCATATTACTGGCACGATTTGAAAGCCATCCGGGACATTTCCTCATTGCGTACAAGCTATAATCGACCAAATAGGAGCTTCTTCTAAGACAAGCCCACGCAGAACAAAGAAGGAGCTTTTCCCCTCACCATCGGCTGTTGAGATGGTGGTTGACGTGGCTGACTGGGCTGTATACCCGTCATCAACGCCAGGGAATTGCCGTTCCGTGCCAGTCGTTCGTAATGATTAATGGCTGCTGTTATTGTGTGGTCGATAACCGGCTGCCCCCCCATGTACCTCTCTGCGTGGTATATCACAACCAAACATTCAATATGAGCACGGCCCATAACCAAATATTGAAGACGCCTACGAGACAAGGCCGGTCCAGAACTGCGCCCGTTGTCTTGAAATCCGGTTCTTCTCTTTACAATGGGACGCGTACTCTAATGGTATGGGTAACGTTCCACTCGGAAGGTTAATAAAGGTGCATAATGAGGTGAGATGAGCGTAGCTTCGTGCGACGACATGTCATCGACATCGGACTCTCTAGCCTTTCGGCGCGGCGCTACACACGACGTGTGGAATGTCCTTCCTACACAAGGTTCGTGTCGCTACTAGGTTTGCCCCTCGACGAGCCACGCCGCCAAGTTCAGCGTTCTCATTAGTCTAACATTGGCCCTCATCTCTACTCTGGTTCCAGGAAAGTCAAACAAAAAGTAAAAAGTGCAAAGGTCCATTTCTGGCGCGAAAGCGAGCACCTTCTAAGCCTGATCCTCGGAAACCTCCCCCGTTCGTCAACTTGTCGGGGAGGGCCACGGAGCCTCGGGAGGACCTGTTCCAGTCAGAAGCTTATTGAAGCTCACAACTGAGACAACCCTCCACGTAACGTCGGCCACCACTTACACACCACTTGCACACCACCCACCGCACAGCCAGCCATGCAGGAAGGCTGACTGTAACCTCTCAAAAAAGCCAAAATTCGCCCAGAAATGGCTGCCTGTCTTGTATGCTGTGCGACACAAGCAGGTCATGGCTTTCCGTAAGCACCACCACAACAACACCATAACCACAGGAGTGTGTTGCCTATTTGGGTGGGAGGTGCGGAGCGGGAAAAGCCTCAGGTACACTGCACGGGAGGGTGTTTGCGTGTATGTGTGTGTGTGTGTGTGTGTGTGCGCGCACGCCAAAATGTAATCCGTTTTTCAGGACGACATCCGTTCAGCACTCGCGGCCGAAGATACTTGCCTGCAAGTACTGCGTAAGCAGTGCAGCACAGCCAGCGGGAGGGTACATGTTCTGGAAGTCCCCAGTCCTTCCAAGAACCGTTTTTCTTCTCCATGAATATGATGAGTGAGGGGCCAGCGCATCGTAGTGCGTACACGCCCATTCAAGTCTGTGATGGCACATGGTCCGCTGCATGCTGATCCTCTTACATGCAGCCTTATCCTCGAACTCGGAGTCCTTGGGTTATTGGAGCGTCATGAGAACTGGTTTGTCGGTCTGAGTTTGTGGTCCCCCCCTGGTCTTGGCGGTGCCCAGTTACTAAACCGCCCACACCCATGTCCGCACTCTCCGTCTCACACCGAACCAGTCATGCTGCGTAATTCCCTTTCATCCAGAGACCCCAAAGCCGACGGACGACTCACAGCCGTCGGAGATATCCAACATCCAGTGGTTGGTTGGCTGGCTGGAGTCACCAAAGATCCCATGGCCACGTTGTTCATCGTCCGCCCATCCAGTCACAGTCCCGCTCCCCACCGAGAAGGAAAAAGAACAGGCGAAAGAGGACCCATTGAAAAAAGGTCTCTTGCATATGAGACTTGGCTTTTACGCTGACGAACTGGAGGAACCCCACTACTGGGATTCCGTACCGAGAGCACCGAGGATTAATAACAAGATGGAAGAAAAAAAGTTCCCCTCCAACCTTACCCACCGCCAAGCAAAAGCAGTGACCAGGAGTCACTCACAAAGGCGGTCAAGTTGGCTTCTGTACAATGTAATGTACCAGTAGTACGCGCACACACACATACATACATACAGCTGTCCATGGGTCTGGTTGTCGATGAACATCTGTGACTCACAATGAGCTGGCCAACGCTTTCTGCTCCGCCTGACAACCAATAACATCCTTGGTCACCGTTTTTCGAAATAGGCATCTCCACCTCGGACATTTTCCAGGGCCTCGTTTGCGACGAGTTCAAGGCTGAGACCATGATACGTGCGGTCCTGTGCGAGCGCGCAGAAGCGCATGTTTTACCCCATCTGCGGTCCTGGTCGTTAGGTACTCCCACATCATTAGCTTCGCAAGAGGGCGCGTAAGTTAACATGAGAGAGCGTCATGGTAATATCATGTGAACGAACATGGAACTTGTCCGCAAGAGCAATTCCCCTCCCAACAAGGCAGAACGATAAAACCCATGCGCACTTATTCCAGTGTCAGTGTAACGTGGAGCCCTCATTCACAGACCGCATTCCTCCCCAACACCGTCATTTTGTCCCTAGCCAGGGTATTTCCCACAAACCCCGAAAAACAAAAGGGAAAAAAAAATAATAAGACGAGATTTGTGCTGTGGAGATGGGGTGTATCCCAGAACTTCTCCATGAGCCCCATGGAATGAAGGAAAACGTCTAGAAGGAGCGGGGACTCTGGCGGTATTGGTAATGAGCGCCGCCCTCTTTTTTTCTTCCCCTGGTCTCCATCGTAACGAAGGGGGAGGCACTCTCTCCTGAAGCACAAGCCGGGGTATCGTTGTCGGCGTCAGGAACAAGTCTGAAGAGAGTGAAAGGGGAGCCGGTTTTGCCAGGCGTTCCCCTGCGTCGGATACGGCGAATACTTGAGACGAAATATCAGACCGAAACCCATTTCCCGGGAAATTTTTTTCCTTTTTTTTTTTTTTTTGTTCCTTTTCCCAAGGCTCGAGCCATGCTTGCTTGTCCCCACGAACGACGAGTTTCCACATTAAGCCAGTTATCCCCATTTCTTCTAGAGCCTCAATCCCCTTGTTACAGAAAAGCTCTGCCATTGTGGTGATCCGTCCAGCTGGGTCGACGGTGATCCAATTCCGCTTCTACAGGTGGTGCCCTTGTGGCAAAGGACCGTTCCTGAGCTCATTTCGGCGGTGCCGTTGCTTCTCCCACGCCCATCAAACAGCACACACCACTACCATGTTACAAACCACAAGAAGACGGGAGGATGGGGGGACGGTGTCGGTATCCATCATGTTGGCTCCAGTTAAACCAACCGAACGACTACAGGAACGGAGAGGTGTCAGTCGTGTGTGAAGGTGCCGTTACGTGGAGCGAGATGCCACTAGCGGTCAAAAGGCCACGTTCTTTCACCGTCTCAAAATAGGTAACAGCAGCTCTCGGGTTACCGTGATACGAAATAAGCTTCGCTAGATTCGCCGCCGGATTCACTTGCAATCTTACGCCCTGAGACCTGTCAGAGAAAGCTGGCGGAAACCAACGATCCGCGTAGTCGGGCTTTAGGAGGCGCCTCGTGTCTCTTAGCTCCCGGCCCCCCCAAACTACTTGGAACATAATAATCCTCTCTTGTCCACTTAACGCGCAGTGGTCCATTACGACGCGGCGTGACGGCGTGAAGGCGTACTTTTTTATTTTCCCCCCTTTCAGCGTTGGTATCTTGGCTATTGGGTTTCAGAAAGTCACCGATGCTCCTATTAGCATGGCGAAAAAAAACAAAAAAAAAACAAAGCCGTTGCCACCGGAAAGGGGTAAAGTAGGTCACCACATTTGGGCAGTGAGTTGATGTAGTACATTACATGCTGCTCACACGAGTATCAAGGCACGCACCTACACGCCAAATGCCGAGGCCAAAAAAAAGTGGTTACCTACACCCTTTTTTTTCCCCCTTCCAGAGGCGCGTCTAGTAGTTTCCTCCCAAGCGGTACCGAAATCCCGGGAATGACGCCGTCGAGACAGAAAAAATTCCCCCACAGAGGCGCATTCCGCCCATCACAAAGCCCGCTTTTTTTTTTTTCTTTTTTGGGCATCGGCATGTGGTTTTATTTTTGTTATTGATGTCGCGGCTCATGTTTCGTTTCGTCCGTTCAAAATGACACGGCTTTTTTTTTTTTTTTCTTTTTTTTTTTTTCCGTCTAATAGGCTCCGTCGCGGGTGACCCGGAATTTGGGGAAGGTGGGAGAGAAGAAAAGGGAGCATTGACGAGTGAGACGCGTCCATGGTAACGACTACACACACATACACACACATACAAGAATAGCAACGTCGAGCTCGGACTTGCCTGTGGGAAATCTCCGACACGAGAATCGTGCCGTCGACGACGACTTCTACGCGGTTCTACGCAAGCCCAGGTGTTGAGGGCATCATTAGAAAGCAAAGCAAACCTGCTGCGCCTCTCAATCCTCAGACCACGCCCCCCCTCCTCCTCCTCCTCCTTTGGTCCGTTTCCGTCGTATATGCTCATCTGAAGACAACCGTCTCCGTTCCTCGTGTGTTTCTTCTCCTTCCCTCAAAAGTCCGCGTGCCCTGTCCCTGTTCGTCCGTTATAGAAAACTGTGGGAATCTTTGGAACGGACACTAGGATGATGGCATCTCGCATTAGAGGGAATCCGTTAGTAGTGTAGAGAGGGCCCCCTCTCTTGGAAATTTCCAGGCAAAAAAATATACACAAAATGCTCTTCCCTGTTCCTATCAAAAATTGGAGAGGGTACTGGATCTCTCTCTTTCAATCTTGTTTCTCCGGACCCAGCCATCGGGTTCGGTTGGTTCGATGCCGGACTGTTGGGACTTGCAGGAGGAGGTGGGACACACACACACATGTACTAGTGTATGTCGTACCGGTCAGCCGCTGCTTACTATGTATGGCAGAACAAGAAGAAATCTCCACGGCCATGGGTGGGAATACCTTCGTCATGGTGCTCCACGGGGGGCTCATAGTGGGATCGTCCAAAGTGGTATTGTACGGTGGTACCAGTAGCGTCTTCTGTCATCATCTAGCGAGGTCCTTTTTTTGGGTACACCGCACGACACACACACCGACCGGTGCAATCCCCGGTCAGGGTTTCATTGCCTCGTAAAGTTGGTCACGACCGAACCGAGAAGGGGGGGTTTGGGCGTGCCAGACAGCTCCAGCCCGTGCCGCGCCCGTACTGTATGTAATAGTACCTCGACAGATGCAGCGTCGCATCGAAACGAGTCCCGTGACGGTTCCAAGGGGCCGGTACCAGCCAACAAAAAACTTGGAATTCACCCAGAGTCTGAGCAACCTTTTTTTTAAACCATGTAACTTTGCCGTCTCATCTCGGTGAGGTCAGCTTCCGAATGCCGTATCATTTTGTCCATTTCGTCTAGTTCTACGTATCGTATGGCGGTGGCTTTCTGAAAGGGCGCGTCTGCAATTTACTTGCTTCTTTTGTTGTCTCTCTAGAACGCGAACCCTTATTATTTACTTTTTTTTCTTTCTGTTTTTTTTTTTCCCACAAAGACGAGGAACGAAAGTGCTGGATCGCTGGAATCTTGTACATTGGACAAGATGCTCCCCCAGCTACCATCTCTCCTGGAACAAACAGTCCGCGGAAGCGTAGAGGTACCCGTTGATGATTCGATTCAGGCTGAATTCCTCCATCACTGAGACAAATGGACTTGATGTCTGATGTCTATTGACTCGAATGTCTAGTGCCCGCTGGAGCTTTTTTTTTTTTTTTCGCTTCCATTAGAAAAACGGTGTCTGACTCGGTTGACAGCTCCCGCTACTACTACTGCCCGGGCGGAATCTCCGCATAGTCACAATGTTAGTCCGGTAGCTTTGACATTGGAGAGAGAAAAGCTGTCAATCGTAACACCAAGATTTGCTGCCCCGCGCGACTACTCTCTTTGAGAAAGGTCCCTTCTGACGACGGGCTTCCTGTTCGGGCAACCCTGTGTGCCAACAGTTAGTTGCCTTGGAGGAACCCATGTTGCACCACCCTGGCAAGGATTGGTGATCAACCGGGGAAAATATAAGTCAAGAGGAAGCAGAGAGCTGCATTACGGGTTCCGAAAAGGTCGCACAAGGTCCGAGAAATCCGTCATCTGATCGGTGACTCCTTCACGAACCCTGCTTTTGGCGCGGTCCTTTTGGTTAGAGGGCTCGGCAGTTCGGTTGACTTTTGTTGGGGGTTTTGACGCGGCGGTTCAGTTCATCCGCCGTCGAGAGAAACGCGCCGTCGGCAGAGAGTAAGGTAACACAAATCATCAATTGTTTATCCCCGGTCGTGCCATCCATCCATCCATCCATCCAGCTGCAGGTTAACACCAGGGATGGTGATTTCGCCCATGTTTTGGAATATGGGCCAGGTTTAGAGGCCACCCCCCCTCTCTCTCTCTCTCTTGACGGGCATGTCAAGATCGTACTTCTTCAGTTCTCTTGGCCTATAACCCCAGAGCCAAAAACTTGTACTCACCGCCCTGCGCAGGTAGCCAGCTGAGACGATGCCAAGGCAAGTCATATTATAGCGACATTTCATTATGAGAAATCCTGGGTCGGGCCAGCAGTTTGTGATCGACATTGATGGACGAACGATGGGGCCGGGGGGAAGAGAGGAATAAAGGTTCACCAGGTAAACAGGAATTTGTCTGCTGCGCAGGCGAAACATTGGCATGTCTCAACACCTTTTTTTTTTTTTTTTTTTTTGGGCATGCCTCTAATTGAAGGTCATTCTCATGTGGATTGGTCTGAAGATGCGGAGTAGACGGACATGTCTCTCGCCCGTTTGGCGAGAATCCTCTTTCGAGACATCATGTCGACGGGCCTTTACCTCTGTGCGGCTGCCGAGTATGATAATTCTCGAACCATGACTGAGGGGGGCACACCTGCGGCATGTCTGTTTTGGCTACGAGCATCAAGCGAGAACGCCCCCAGGTGGTCCGAGTGGCTGAATTGCATGATGCAGCCAGCTGCTTATCCTGAGTCTCGGATGGCATCCTTGCTGAACTCGCAGCCCTATACGGAGTACTGCGTAGCAAACCAAGAGGCTGGGAAAGAGAGAGAACCAATCTCGCTTTCTCATTCAAGCTATCCCGTACCCTGCTGCCACGACCCCTTCTTGAGCTGAACTCGCCTCGTCGTGGCTTTTAATGAGGATTTCACTCATCGAAAGCGGAAATGCCTTTGTGCGCTATTCCTGCAGGTCCCAGCAGGCTTCAGAAAGGCTGTGCGACACATGGCTTTTTTTTTGTTTTGTGGTACTACGTACGTAGTAAGACGTGCAAAGAGCATATCGTCGGCGAAAGTCGGTAAACCCTCGTTGCGACGAACATACTATTTTCGGTGTAGACAGCTACCGTAAAGGGCATCGTGCTTTTCAATATTGTCATAACAATAATGAGGCGAACGATGCCTAAACGGTGCCACAGAATACGCAGGTATTCCGTCATAGATTGCGCCGGCGGCTGGCGCGTCGCACACAGCCTCTCCCTCTGCTGCCCATATTCTAATCGCAAACATGATCGAATGGGCCGGAATGACACTAACAGAAAAAGGTGTGCTATGATTCGGGGAACAAGTAGACGCGACACAGCACAGCAAATCCTCTCGGAATCGGAAAGCTGCTTCATCGACTGAACAGCTGTCGCACTCATCTCATGGGTCTCAGACAACTGGTGTTTGTCCGAAGAGCTCTCAGAGCCCTCCCTTCGAAGCCCCCCCCGGTCTCATCCCGCATACCTCGTGATGGTTTCACTGGCTTCATGTGGCCACGATAATAATACAAAAAAACTGCTCGATTATTCTGTCATTTCCGCCATTACTGATTTTCGCTGGAATAAGGCCATCGGCCGGATGCCAAGGAAGCGTCGGCGGCCTCGGCATGGGCTGTCTAAAGAGAGGCAACCCCGGGTTATGCTCGTTGAGTAACCAATCAAAGTGCTCATGCAGCAGGCCAGAGAGAGATATCTGAAACAACCTTCTCTTACTCGCTCCGCAGTGACACGAGTGCGACGCAAGCCCCCCAAAGATGACAAAGTATGTGAGAGAGTGTGAGTGAGAGAGAGAGAGAGGGCGTAAGGGCTCGCAGCTTGGAGGAAGTCCGCCCCACGTCCGCGCCCGCGTCCGCCAGGTCGATCAGTCACCGTATTTTCCACGTGGTGGACATGGGGGCGGTTGACGAGCAACGACCACCCCTGACGATCACACCTTGAACAGGGGTTCAACTGTCGATTGCTACGCCCGGCCTCGAATCAGGTAAGGATAGGCGGCCTGGTGGTCGGTTACACACTTGCTTGCTGCTGCTCAGGCGGTGGTTACCAAGTCGCTAAGTAGACAACAGAATCCTTCATCGGCGTCTCGTTTGCTGTATGTGTAATTTGAAATCGCAATACTAGGTTCTTGATCAGCTGGTACCGTTTCAATACCAATAGACTGCTTTTCCCCCTCCTCAAACTAACGTATGACCCATCATGCAGGTACGGTGGCAAACGGCAATGATTTGACGTTGGGCGTATTTCCATTTCGAATTTTGTCCATTTCATAATTCCCGCTTTCGCTTCTCGAGACAGATTCACTCGGCCGCCCCTTGAAGTTGATACCAATTTCTCGTAGCAGCAAGGGATACACCACGGGGACATCGCTATCCCCGCATTACGAACCGCAACAACCAGTAAGCGGCAGCCCTTCGGTTCGAAAAGAGGACATCCATTGACGGTCGGTCCCCCCCACGGTTTTGACCGCGTTCGTGGATTAAGATGGACCACGATGTGTATGTGTATTTGTGATGATGTCCCGTCATCTGTCAAAAATAGGTAACCCGGAGGTGCCAAAACGTTGCCATTTTAGGCAAAACGAGGAGAAACGTCCCATGTCCCTTGCTTCGGCCGCAGTACCCTTGCGTGCGGGATTCTGAGACGAGTGCCATTATTTTCATGTCTGTTTGCAACAGACTTCGTCTGCACGTCCACTTGATAACGGCAGAATGCAAGTTCATGAGGCGAAGGGGGAAAACGGTCGGAAATCTGCCACACCACTACCCCCCCGGCCGGCTTTGGTGGGGGGCCGAAGAAAACGGTCAATGAGCCACGCTGGGATCGCGGCCTTTAACACGTTGGGACGAGGCCAAATCGTTCTGGCAGGTTATCACTTTTTTTTTTTTTTTTGTTTATCTCGGCACGTCAATGGGTCGATAAGTCGAATGCCGTGCTATTCCTGTTCGAAGATCATTCACACCCTCTTCAACCTTGTCGTACATGGTGACGGGCGGTCATGCGCCCTGAAGACTGGGGATGCGGTTCGACGGAGGATCTAGCTGTGCCTCACTGACGCCATGACTGCAATCAATTCTCTACTGTCAGCTTAGCGGGGTTACCGGGTAAAGATCAACTATCTAATCGATATTTCTCCCCCTGCAAGCTTCCTGCGGCCGTGGTGTCGATGCTGCTGCAATCCTTATCAGATTACCCGCGGCGCCCGTCGGCGTGAAGATGCTGCTGTGCACTTCGCAGTGGGGTTGAGCACCGCGAGAGGGCATACATGGTATACAGCACAGCACAGCACAGCACAGCACAGCAAAGCAAAGCACAGCACGGCCTGTTCGGATCGAGATGCTTGGTGGATCACGGCCGTAATGCCGTCCGCGCCCGCCCGCTGACATGGCGTCACTGGCGCCAACTAAGTCGTCCGACTGCTCCGTCCGTGCCTGCACTCGGGCGGCTTCACGGGAGAATGCCGCGGTTCTGCCCATCGATGAGCTACGACAAAAGTAATATTGTAGGCGACTTATGATCGGCCGAAACAAACGGTAGCCAAGGTTGACTTTATCACGACCCCAAGCCGCCACCTCCACAAAGGGTGGTGTGCAGCTGTACAGTCAAGGGTCTCCCGACACTATCTCCTCGTCAACACCACGGTGTAGTTCAGCTTGGCGGTTCCCTGCCAGCATGTGTAGGCAGGTACTTTCTGGGAATGTATCTCTCCATGAACAGAGTTGGTGTGTAGGATTAGCCTTCTGTTACGTGTTCAGCAAGGTTGGTGTCAGTGTTCCATCCAGGAACTAGCTCTATGGGTGTGTGTGACATCCCTGTTGGCAATTCATCCGATTCTGGACTCCGTGATATCCAGACTCGTACTGGACTTTCTTTCCGGTGAAGATCAAATCCCCTCAGCGGAACCTAGCATGGGTGACTCCTCACACAACTAACATGCGCCTTGCATTGTATCATTTGGTCGTAAAATCACATTATTAATTGTCAGATATTGAGTTTGCAGGTTTCGGTAAACGTTAGGCAGCGAGCGGGTGAATAAGCATGCCATGCTGTTTGGCGATTACTGCACGACTACCTCAGCCCCAGGTTCCTCAGTAAGGATTTCCCCTCCACCCGAGTTGCCATCAGTCATCGATACTGTTCAGGAAAGGCAGCATAACTTTACTGACTTTCTTTTTCCTTTCTTTTCTTAGCTGTCCCCGCCAAGAAAAAAATCGTGACACTCAAAGGAGGGGTAAATGGCAACATTGATCCAAAAGTTGGCACTGGTGCTAGTTGATGTTCTCAACTCCAATAGAGCGGAAACTTTGATGAGCTAGAACAACCTTGGCAGAAGTTCCAAAACTAATAGTTGACGTCGTAAGTTCTCTCAGCCACGAGCTATGAGGCTGGGCTGTCGTCTGCCAATCAACTGGTTTTTCCTTGGGCTTGTTTCACTTATTGGCAACCCAAGCATATGTCCACCGTGCGTTCCCCCTCAAAAACTGTTGCCCATGGCTCGATGCTTCGGCACCATGCCGCAAGAGAGCACTGGAAAACCCGGAGACTTTCTTGGGGGCAGAACGGTTCTCGGCAGCGTAGCCAAGCCCCGTATTGATCCCGAATTGACACGGGGCGGCCAGTTGAACAGTCCGGTCGTCGATCTGGGGTGTCCAAGCACTTCCCCAGCATTACCCCGAGGCTTGGCCTGTGTTTAACCCTGGATACACGTGTCCTACTCCTTGTGATTCTTGAACCATCTCGTTATCGTCATGGGCGTTGGGTGGGGCATCACCAAAACAACGGTCCCCAGGAGAGTTACCCACGCTGTGTGCTTGCTGTGGCGTCTGCGAATAACTCTAGATCTCGATCTGTCCGACGAAATACATCCCATGATGGTTGCGTGTCCCATCACGAAAGTTGTGACGTACCCAGGCACACGAAACAATAGTTCAGCAGTTTATTATCAATAACACCATTCTTGCAATGTAGGGTGCGTCCCAACAAATGATGCAAGTGTCAAAAACTCGATCCGAAGCGGGCTGTCATCGCACCATCGCGTAATCATGCCAGTACTAGGCTCAGCCTTCTGTTAAGGCGCAAGGATCGTAACATCATCTCGTGTTGCATGGGATGTCTTCTCTACCTTGTCTGTAGCTTGCTTACCCCTCACAACACGTCTTCCTCAGCTCCAGGATTAGGCATCTGAGTTGAAGTAATCCAATTCTCCATGCTGGCTTGGCCAGCAGGCTTCTTGGCATTCTCAGCACTGCTTGACGATGCCATTCTCAGACCTTGGCGTTTCTTGACGATGAGGCACAGAACGCGACCATAGATGGCGAATCCCTCATACGAGACATCCATGGCCATCTTCTTCTTGTCGTCGTCTTCTTGATCAACATCGGACCCGGTCGTTTGTTTCTTGAGGCGCTTGGACGGGCGGGGAGCATCACTGTCCGAGTCTACCTCAATTGCCGACACATCTCCCCCAGTCTCTTCGTCCGAAGGCAGGTCGTACTCGGCGTCTTGGTCATGAAGTGCCCCGCGCTGTCTTTTGGACCGACGAGGCCGTGCTGTTTCATCGACAGCGGGGATACGGGATATTCCGTCGGCGTCTTCGTCGGACTCACTCTCCTGCCGAATGTGCACCGTAGCATCGGGGCCTTCGGCGTCCAGGTCGATGGGTACGTCATTTGTTTCGTTTATGAGCTTGTTAGAGTTGGACTGTAACTTGCTAGGTGCTTTGTCTCGAAAATTCTTATGCCTTTTAAGTAGTGAATGGCGCGTGGCGGTCTCTGTTAAGAACATGGATACTTCGAACTCGTCTAGTCATCACCAGTCAAACCATGCTCACCCAATAGGAGGTGTGGACTCAGCTGGTTGCAACGATGGATAGGTGATCGGGGTAAAACGACGGTGGGTAAAGCTGCAAAACAAGAGTGACAAACCTTGAATAACGACATCCTTGATGGACTTCTTCTTGGAGCTTTTCTTCTTGGCTCTCTCGCGTTCCTTTTCTTCGCGGAGTTTCGGCAACACATGCGGGCGAACACTCTCGATGACCTTGGGAAGAATGGGGTTCCTCGGATTCAGCAGCCAACTTTGAGCCAGGGCAGGGTTATCGAGGTAGATGCGGCATTCGAGCACTGAGTACTTGGTGATCCTGAGGTATCGGCGTAGGGGCGCCATAGCTGGGATAGACTTTGATTTCTAGTAATTGCCGGATACGACGTAGTAGTGGGCGCCTTTTTCGAGAGTTGAACCGATAATGTGTTGGAAGAATACAAAGATTGTGTCAATGTGATTAATACAAGAACGTGTGGTGCAATAAGTGAGAAGGGCAAACTATGAAATGGGGGAAGTCATCATCGAGTGAGTGACAGTGACGTGGGAGCTCCCCGCTGTGATCAAGTAAGTACCTTCTCCAGTCGTACTTGCATGCAATTGCGGTTGAGGCAGGGTTAGGTACATGAGCTTCTCGGCCAATACCTCTGGTATCTTAGGGGGAGCTCCGCCAACATTACAGTGGACTGTCAGCCTTGCAGCGATTGTACCTGCGCTATCGTCAGTGCGGGGCCGCTGCTGTCCTGTAAAGCAGTTGGTACGATGCAACAACACTCATAGCTCTCTGCTTCCTGCTGTGACCTCAGGCAGCTCGGCGCAGAAGATAGTAAATGCCCCACTTTATTTTCCTCAGTCGATCCGCGTCCAAATCGTGACTGGCTTCCCTTTGGAGCGCAAAGTCAATTGCGCATTGCAACTCGATCCACCTCTCTACCCGCCTCCTTTTCGCGGTGATGCTTACGAGGAGATCATGTCGAAGTCATGGGCATCGACGCTGAGGTTGCCCAAGTCTACCTTTCCGTAAGCATCGGCCCCGTCCAATCTACTACCCTCCACTCCGGCCTCAGCTGACCGGGACCATCTCAGACCACGTCCGCTCCCCCAGTTCCGCGCCGACTACATTCGTCGATGTGCCGATGATTTTTACAAGTGGCAATCCAAAAATGACTCTCGGCCGGGGTTTACTCTGCATGATGGGCCCCCATATGCAAACGGGAGCCTCCATGCCGGCCATGCCTTGAACAAAGTCCTCAAGGACATGATCTCAAGAGTCAAGGTCCAGCAGGGTTAGTGGCTGTCGGTTACATACTGTTGATGGATTCCCGATGGCTGACTCTATGGCAATAGGCTACCGCGTGTGCTACAGGCCCGGCTGGGATTGCCATGGTCTTCCCATCGAGATGAAAGCAGTCGGTTCCTCCGGCGGCAAAGACATGACTGCTGTTGAGATTCGCAAAGCTGCGAGAGCTCTCGCTTCGAATACAGTGCTGGAACAGATGGAGGGTTTCCGGTCATTTGGTGTCATGGGCGATTGGGACGCTCGCTGGACGACAATGGACCCCGACTTCGAGATCAGGCAGCTGCGCCTTTTCCAACAAATGGTCCGCCGAGGCCTCATTTACCGCAAGAACAAACCCGTCTACTGGTCGCCGTCTTCGAGAACTGCTCTCGCCGAGGCCGAACTGGAATACAATGAGAACCACGTCTCGACGGCGGCATACATCAGATATCCCATCATCGATGGCCCCGCCCTCGACGGTTTCGACGGCCAGCTATACGCCATTATCTGGACTACCACCCCCTGGACACTCCCTGCAAACAAGGCTATCGCCGTTCATGATGATCTGGAATATGCCGTCATTGCTGTCAATGGAAGCGCTTATCTCACCGCGGTAACCCGTCTTGAAGCCGTCAAGGCTCTCTTCACCGATGCGGAACCGGAAGTTATCGTGCCGTCTCTCAAGGGTTCTGAGCTCAAGGGGTTGAAGTACTTGAACAGGCTTCAAGGAGCGCAATCAGCCCCTCAACCCATCATCCACGCCGAGTTTGTATCAGCTGATTCCGGAACTGGCCTTGTTCATATTGCTCCTGGTCATGGTTTTGAGGACTACGAGGCCTGTGCTAAACTTGGCATTGAAGCCTTTGCACCCATTGACGACGAGGGACACTTCACCAGCGAGGCTTTCCCTGACGCCCCCGAAAAGTTGACTCAGTCCTCCTCCATCCTCAAGGGTGGCAGCAAGGCCGTCCTCGCTCTGATTGAAGATGATGTTCTGCAAGCAGCCAAGTACAAGCACAAGTACCCCTACGACTGGCGGACGAAGCAGCCCGTTGTCATGAGGTCTACAGCTCAATGGTTCGCCGATGTTGATAGCATCAAAGATGATGCCATCAACGCCTTGAAGGATGTCAAGTTTATCCCTGCTACCGGAAGAAATCGTCTCGAGAGCTTCGTTGTTGGACGTAGTGAGTGGTGCATCTCTCGTCAGCGTGCCTGGGGAGTCCCCATTCCCGCACTGTACGACGCCAATGGTGACGCCGTGGTCACTGAAGAATCCGTTGACCACATCATCTCAGCGATCCAGAAGCGCGGCATTGACGCTTGGTTCTCCGATGCCCCTGACGAGCCCGCTTGGGTGGCCCCATCTCTCCAAGGACGCTATCGCCGCGGCACTGACACCATGGATGTCTGGTTCGACAGCGGGAGCAGCTGGAGCGAGAGCAGTGGCCAGGCTGATGTTTATCTCGAGGGCTCTGACCAGCATCGCGGCTGGTTCCAGTCCAGTCTCTTGTCCTACGTTGCAGCCCAAAGAGCTGAAAGCGGACCGACGTCTCAGGAACAGCCCAAGTCCCCTTTCAAGACCTTGATCACCCACGGCTTTACTCTGGACCAAGATGGCAAGAAAATGTCCAAATCCATCGGAAACACTCTCACGCCTGTTCAGATCATGGACGGTACCCTCCTGCCCCCTATCAAGGTTAGAGGCAAGGCCAAGGTTCCCGGCGCCGGTCCGGTGTACGAAGCTCTCGGCCCAGACGCCCTCCGCCTCTGGGCTGCCAGCTCCGAATACACCAGAGATGTCGCCGTTGGGCAAACCGTGCTCAAATCCGTCCACACAGTCCTAGTCAAATACCGAACCATTATCAAGATGCTTCTTGGCTCAATGCACGTGTCAGCTCGCACCGCTCCCATCACGACCCTGGACCACATTGCCCTTATCCAGTTGAAGGATGTGATGGAGGAAGTCCGGAAGGCATTCGCAGCCCACGAGTTTAACAAGGCTTTCGGTGCGCTGAACCGTTGGGTTACCAATGATCTGTCAGCATTCTACCTTGAGGCCATGAAGGATCGTCTGTACTGTGGTGACGGCGGTGGTGTGCTGGAACCTATATTCCTGGGTTTCCTTCGTATGCTGTCGCCCATGACGCCGGTCCTGGTGGAAGAGGCCTGGGACCACCGTCCGGACTGGATGCAAGCAGACAGTTCCATCACCCATCCAATGTACAGTTTGTACGATGCTCCGATCCACAGTATTGCCCCGCCATCCATCGGAGAGGCCACCCTTCGCAAGGACCTCCCCGTCCTCATGGCCGTCCATAGCGCCGTCAAGTCTGGTCTAGAGAAAGGTCGTCTGGCCAAGGCCTTGGGATCCTCGCTGCAGTCCTCCGTCATTGTGAGCACCGACGACCAACCCGTCGCTGGCGTGCTGGAAAAGTACGCCCACGAGCTTGATGCCATGTTCGTTGTATCCTCCGTCACGACCAACGCCGAGGTTCCTGTTGAGGCCGCGTGGCGTTACGACGAGCCGTTTGAGGTTAATGGTGTGAAGGGCACCGTTTCCGTGTTGCCGCCCGTTGAGCACAAGTGCTCTCGGTGCTGGAGGTATCTTGCGCCCAAGGAGGACAGCTTGTGTGGTCGCTGCGACGATGTTGTGTCCACCTTGTAAAATATGTACAACGATTTATAGATGTATAACAGCCAGCTCTAAAAAGGAAGATACCCTTATATCCACATCTCGATGCGTTTGAGCCAGTCCCACTGGCGTTAATAGTGACATGGACCGAAGGGGTCTACCGGTGGTAATGATGCTACATGACCGACACGAGGATGAAGCGCAATTTGGGATATAGCAAACTAAACCGAACTACAATGCAGATTATCGTCGACATACTTTATGGAATCCTACAACTACAAGAATCAGGTTCACCGCTGTTGCACAACATATCACAATAAGCAGTCAGTCTTTCAGTTCCAAAAGTCGCTAAGGATGATGTATCAAATAAACCGATGACCTCTAAATATCAAGAACAAGACGGAAACAGAACAGGCCGTAAACAAAGGTTGCTGCGCTCCAAACTACCAATGAGCTTTTCCCACACTGTACACGCAGCACAGCCTTTTGGAGGGGGGTTAATCATAGTCTAATCAACGACAACAAATCACCAACTTCGTGGATTGGCGGGAACAGCAGGAGACTGGGTGGTAGCCCTGGGACGCACAACCACCATTTCCATCCCCAATCAAGTTCCCGAAACCGACGACAATTCACAAGCGCCGTATAAGGGGCTCATTACGCGGCTGTGCAACCGCCATACGACACGTTTTGCACTGGATATTAATACCGACGAATGACTTTGGCGCTCGCTCAGAGGCATCAAGCAGGCTGCGGCTGACGCGACTGGGGCTATCCAGACGCCACCGATCCATCAACGTCCCGTAGGCAGAATCAGGATTGCAGAAGAGTTAAAAGTGCAAATTCGTTTCTAATATGGTTCTCCTTTTTGTTTCCGCGGCCTGTCATGGAGGGCAGTTCGCCGTCGACTCTCAATGAGATATCAGCCATGAGGAGCCTCATTCAGAGTTGCCAACTCAACCATCGCGTTCTCCAAACCTCCCAAACCAGAAAACAATGAGACTCTTCGGCCAGAGCGTCACCGGTTGGCGGGTTCCCGCTATCGCTGCCGTGATATTGGTTTGGACTATGACGGCGGTCCTTTGGGGTCTGCTCGTTTACTCTTTCGTCCGGGGCATACGCAGGACCGGGTCGGTGCAGGATCAGCCCGTGTTCTACTCCAACGACTGCGAACGGACGAGGGTGCTCCTTGTGTTCCTCCGATTTCTCATCAGCGCCCTTTCGACACTGGTGCTTGTGTCTTCGTACTATTTCATGCAGATACTGGTGGCCCCGACGCGGGAGGACATTGACAAAGCCCACGGCCGGTCTCAGTGGATGGATATAGGCGTCCCGTCCACGCGCAACTTGCGCTTCATCTCTTGTCGGAGATCGGTTTTGTGGTTACTTCTCGCCGTGATTTGGGTTCCGTTTCACCTCCTGTCCAACTCCTGTGTGTTCGGGATAGTCCCGGCGGTGCCCTGGGTGACCGTCCTCGCCACGGAATCCTTCGTGTCCGGAGGTGATTACTATCTCCCAGGCATAGGAATGGGTCCTCCGCGCGAGGACAAGCGCTTGCCGTACACGGAGAGGTTCAACATTTCCGTCCCTGAGGAAGTCAAGTATATCGCCGACAACGCAGCCAAATGGGAACGTCTCAGTGCGCGAGAATGCCTCCACGCATATGATGTATGGATAAACGTGCACAAGAGAAGGCACATGGTGGCCGTGGTTTCCATGACCAACGACGACGACGACGACGAAAAGGGGGGGTGGACCACGTCAGACAAGTCTCGGTCATGGGGCAAAGGCACATACAACGATACGGCCTATAGCGTTTGGTACGCGGGACACTGCGGCCTGTACGCCAACAATGAACGTACGCTTTGCGGCGGCCTCGCATATGGGTTGAACATCAGTCTGTGGGACGGTGACGGACCATACAACAACGTCTCGATCATCTCGGAAGATGCCAATAGCATGATGAGCCTGGTGGAACTGTGGCAGGGGAGCTGGATGGACAAGCTAGTCGACGAGCACGACAACTGGGTCATCCCCTGGCACGCAGTCACCGCACCCGGAGGCGCGACGTTGCTGAACGAGACGTTGACGGTGAGTTACTGTCTCTCTGAGCGCATCGAGGCCAACTGCAAGGCTAGGATCAACAACATGTTGTTCCTGGCAGTCGGTCTCGTCGCCTTGGGGAAAAGCGTCCTGTGCGCGGTCGTCATACGCCATCTGTGGGCGACGCAGCCGCTGGCTACCATCGGGGATGCCGTCGACTCTTTCATCCGGCAGCCGGACCCGACGACAAGGGGTATGTGCACGCTCGGTTGGCAGGACTTTTCAAAGAAGCGTCCCGGGAGACCGCGGAAGCCGTCCGCCAACGGTTGGGCTGCCGCGCCGCGGCGATGGAAGACGCAGAGGGCGCGATGGGGCGATTCGGTCTATCGCTCCGACTGGGCTGTAGCCTATATTCCCGGGATAGCAGGTTTCATCCTGGCTTGTCTGGCGCTGAAGTCGTTTGTCGAGGGAGTGTAAGTGATTCTCTGACATTTTCCTCTCCCACTCCCTTCTGGCTTTTCTCCAGAGATATGCTTGCTGATGCTTGGGGCACACAGCGGGGGATGGAAACTGGCATACTTCCAGAGCACTTTCGGACAGGACCCCCAAAACCCAGTCTTCATACTGAATTACCCCTCCGAAAAGCTCCGCAGATTCGTGTTAAGGCTGGCCTCGGACCGCACGGGGGTGCTCCTGCTCGTCCACTTCCCGCAGGTCGGGCTTGCCAGCATGGCCCTCTTCTTGAACGTCATCTACACCCGCATGCTCATGGCGCGGGAGTGGGCTTCGTACAGCGTCGGCCTCAAGACGCTGCGCGTCAGCGAGCCGAGAGGCAAGCAGCGGCGGACGCATTTCCTCGAGATCCCCTGGCGATACGCCGTCGCCGTCCAGGTGCTCGGGATCCTGGTCCGCTGGTTGTGCGCCAACGCCATGTATACTGTCAACGTTGAACGTAAGTCGACGCGATCTGGTTCGCTGGGCAAAGGCATCCCTGGCTAATCTTTCTTTCCCACCAAAGCACCCCAAGACGGCGTCGTGAACCGCTATGAAAACTTTCGCTACTTCAACATCCTCTTATCCTTCAGAGCGGCGCTGGGTACGGTAATTGCGTTTTTCATAATGATGGTTACCCCCCTTATCCTCGCGTGCTTTCGGCTCCCGGGAGAAGCTGTGATGGTCGGAAGCTGTTCCGCGGCCATATCGGCTGCCTGCCACGTCCTACGGCCGTGTTCTCCCCTGAAAGAAGAAACAGAACCAGCTGGCGCTGACTTCATATCCCGCTGGGATTCGAGCTCGACCCTTCTTGAACGGGAGGCAAGCGTTCTCATCTCCGCCACCGATGCGGAGGGCGGCGACGGAGGGAACGGCTGGAGAGGTAAGATGGCGGAGGGGAAACTGAGATGGGGGGGTTGTCTCTGGTAAAGGGGTGTTGGCGACGGAATACGATACCACTGCCGATGATTTGCTCGTCGTGGAGCATCTGGCGTTTGGAGGAGAAGGGAACAATGTGCAGAGTGTTAGAAATGGCGCATTTTATGCTGGTACCAGCGAATGGTATGACTTGAAAGATATTGGAGTGAGGGATGATTATGTTGAAAGCAATATTAGAACGGCGAACCTGTGACACGAGAAGCTAAAGTTGCAAAGAAAATCGCTTTTGAATTTTTGAACTGTTAAAAATCAAACTTCTATCCGGGGTTGCCCCTATTTAGTGATACCTTTCCACGCCCTACTTCTGCAAGGGCTGACCCATGCCTCCGTATGTAACCATCTTCGTGATCTGGTACTCCGAGATACCATACAGGGAGCCCTCCCTGCCGAAGCCAGACTCCTTGACACCTCCAAACGGCGCAGCGGGGTCCGAGATGAGACCCGTGTTGACGCCGACCATGCCCACTTCGAGGTGCTCCGCGACGCGGTGCACACGCTGGATATCGCGGGAGAAGAAGTAGCCCGCCAGTCCGACGTTGGTCGAGTTGGCCAGCCTGACGACCTCCTCCTCGGTCTCAAACGAGAACAGGCCCGCGACGGGGCCGAAGGTCTCCTCTTCGGCCATGGCCATGTCCTTGGTCATGCCGGTGATAACGGTGGGCTCGTAGAAGTTGGAGCCCAGGTTGGAGAGCTTGTGACCGCCGATGACGACCTTGCCGCCCTTCTTCTCGGCGTCGCGGATGTGGGCGTCGACCTTGTCGATGGCGCGGTCGTGAATGAGGGGACCATGGGTGATGCCCTGGTCGAAGCCATTTCCAACCTTAAACTCCTTGACCTTGGCGGCGAACTTCTCGGCGAACTCGTCATAGACGCCGCTCTGGATGTAGATGCGGTTGGCGCAGACGCACGTTTGTCCAGAAGAGCGGAACTTGGAGGCGATGGCGCCCGCGACGGCGGCGTCGATGTCGGCATCATCGAAGACAATAAAGGGCGCGTTGCCGCCCAGCTCGAGGGAGAGCTTCTTGAGGGTGCCGGAGCACTGCTTCATGAGAAGCTTGCCGACGTTGGTAGAGCCGGTGAAGGAGATCTTCTTGACGGTCGAAGAGGTGGTGAGGGCCTCGCCCACCTCGGGTGTGTTGTCGAGGGAGGTAATGACGTTGATGACGCCCTTCGGGATACCGGCGCGGTGGCCCAGCTCGGCGATGGCCAGGGAGGTGAAAGGGGTTTCGCCGGGGGCTTTGCAGACCACGGTGCAACCAGTCGCGAGGGCGGGGCCAATCTTTCGGGTGACCATGGCGGCGGGGAAGTTCCAGCTGCTTGGGTCAGTATAGATGGGCCAGGAGGGTTTGTGGAACATACGGGGTGATGAGACCGCAGACGCCGACAGGCTCCTTGATGGTCCACACACGGTTACCAGGAACAGACGAGGGAATGGTGTCGCCGTAGATACGGGGCGCCTCCTCGCTGAACCACTCGAAGAAGTTGGCGGCGTAAGTAACCTCACCCTTGGCGTCGGCCACGGGCTTGCCGTTCTCCCAGGTGATGAGGGTGGTGAGATCCTCGGCGTTCTCCATCATCAGGTCGTACCAGCGACGCAGTAGCTTGGAACGCTCACGACCGGTCTTGGTGCGGAAGGTTTCGAAGGCGGTGGCGGCGGCGGCGATGGCGGCGTCCGTATCGGCTTTTGTGAACTCGGGACATGTTCCGATCTTCTCGCCGGTGGCGGGGTCTGTCTAGGATTAGCTTCCGAAGCTATCTACATATCAATAGAAGGGAGTGGGCATAGCATACCAGTAACTGCAAAAGTCTTCCCCGACTTGGCCTTGATCCATTCACCGTTGACATAGCACACGTCCTGCTTGAGCAGCGACGGGTCTTTGAGCTGTGAGAGAGTGAGCAAGCTGTTGAGCTGAGGGAGCAGGGCTGCCACGGAAACAGTACCTTGGGGACCATGGTTGAAGCTGCTCGTAGAGAGTATGGAATAAACGGGGTCCGGACGGATCGTATTGAGTTTCTAACGACGAATCTTGACGCCGGAGCGAATGCTTTTTGTAATGTGATAGGCATGGTGGAGAGTCAAGGTAAAGTGGATGACGAGAGAGGCTCTAGTTCGCCGTTGCTAGTGCTGCGGAGATGGGATGCGGAGAGGTTTGTGTAGCCTATAGATGGGGTTCCCTTGGGTTCTGAAGGTGCTCAAACACCTCTAACCGATGGTAGAGGCTTTGAGGGTGGCAATTGGAGGTGTATGATGTGTTTCTGGTATCAATTGCACCGGTGAAGACGTCTGAATGGATAAGGTACTGTGAGAGATGAATGTTTGAGCGACAACGGAGAGAGCTATGCTGCAGGTTCCCTGTGACGTTCGATGACGTTCACCCCACATCAACCGGCCCGGTTGTGAAGACCGGCTCGGCATAAGAAAGCATTGTGTAGAGGAACGATAAGCTAAATGCCGGGGCTTGATAGCGGCGGGGCCACTAACAGATACCGCCACTACTCATCCCCCACCGGCGACTCAGCCAGCTCAAGAGAGCTTATTCCCTGAAATCTCCACCAGATCTCACTGAGCTCATGAGCATTGTTCATCAGTTCATCTTCAACAGACTTCTTTCATAAATACATATACAGTATGGACATAGATATCATATCTTGTTATTACATCTTGATTAAAGTTGATGCCCATAAGAAAAAACATACTTCTCAACCCCACAACAAGAACACGCCATCCATCATTCTAATGTCTCAATAATACAGCTCCAAGCTCCATGTGTTCATCTCATCTCATCTCATCTCAAAGCTCTTGAGACACCAATCAAATGATATCCTCGTATGACCTTTTACGGATTATCTCCCCTATCCACCATGTCTCGTCGTGCCACTTCTAAAGCCCCAGGCATCCTTACAGACCCAAGCCTTCAAGACCGTCGTATTGCCGCCCTCTCACGGTGATCTCGCCCCGTTTCTGATAACCTGGCCGACATGCATGCCGTCACACCCGCGGCGCCGATGTTCCTCTACCAGCTTCCTCCTGCACCCCGACAATGAAAAACCCACTTCGTCCCCGCGTTGCGACTCCGTCAACAACTATGCGGGGAAGCTTATTTGCTGCCTACTTAACTTCATTTCCCCCGACCTCATCATGTCCGCGCAGGAAACAATAAGGTCCGTGGCCTCGACCATGACTGACGAGCTCTGGTGTCTCTTCTCCGCCTTCATACCCGCCGTCAACATGGTGAAGTGGCCTCGGACCTTGCTCTCCGCCGCGGCCGTGGCGCCGGCTGCTATCCTTAACCCCGTCCCGGGGCCCGGAAGCGCCAGTCCCGTCTTTGACGCCTTTGTGAGCTACTCGCTCGAGTTTGCCTTCTTCCCAGATTTTGCAGGTATGCTCAAGACAGAAACGATGTACCGATTCGACAAGCTCACCTCATCCCAGGAAACAAATCTTCTCCAAATAAGTTCTCAGACAACCTACTTGTCAACCTGGGCAATCTCCAAGGCGTCCGTCCACACATCCGCGTGGGAGGAAACACGCAAGACTACGCCCTTTACGATGAATCCCTCCCGTACGCCGTCAACGGCACCTACGACTTTGACCGGTCCAGAGACTACCCGACCACCATCCACATCGGCCCTTCTTTCTTCGAGTCCTACAGCACGTTCCCAGACACCAAGTTCACGCACGGCTTCAACCTTGGCCTAGGCGCGAACCGCTCCGAAGGTTGGGAAACCCTGCTCGCCACGGTGCCGCTAGCCTGCAAGGCCATCGGCGTCGACAACCTCGACGTGTGGGAATACGGCAACGAGCCCGACCTCTTCTCCACCTCCGCCCAGGGCCCCGTCCGGCCTCCGTCGTGGGACGAAGCGGCGTACGTAAATCAATGGCTCAACGGCACGCGGGAAATCGCCTCCGTCCTCTCAAAAGCGTGCCCCGAGTTCCCCGCTCCCAAGTTCATGGCCCCCTCGAACGCCGGCACGGCCAACCACCTCCGTGCCCCGGCGCAATGGGCCGCCGGGCTGCGCAACGCCGACAACATCGCCCTGTTCTCCAGCCACAACTACATCAGCGGCGCCGAGAGCCCCGGGGTCACGCTGCAGGGCACCCTGATGAACCACACCCGCAGCGTGCAGTCGGTCCAGGCGCACGAGAGGGAATACGCCAACATCACGGCGCGCTTCGGCAACGTCCCGCCGCAGATCCTCGGCGAGCACAACTCGCTCTACAACCAGGGCAAGCCGGGCCTGTCCAACTCTTTCGGGGCCGCGCTCTGGGGCGTCGACTTCAACCTCTACGCCGCGTCCGTGGGTATCAGGCGGGTGCATCTGCATATGGGGACAGATTACAGGGTACGTCCGCCTACCTAACTTTCATCAACTGACATGGTCTTGCTACTAAACTGTGTTATGATTATAACAACAGTACGCGAGTTGGCAGCCCGTGAGCACGGAAACGACAACCGTGGGCACCAAAGCGCCGTACTACGGCAACATCGCCATCGCCGCCTTCCTCAACCCCGGCCTGTCGTCCGACGCGGTATCTGTCGCCCACGTCCCGCTTGCGGGGGACAACGAGAGGTCGTCGGCCTACGCGGCGTTCCAGGGCGACGACCTCGTCCGGCTGCTCGTCGTCAACCTGCAGGCGTACAACTCCACGCTCGGCGGCACGGGGACGAGCCCCGACCCCGACGCCCCCGTGCGCCCGCGTTTCCAGTACGCCTTTGCGGTGCCGTGGCAGGATGGCAAGGCGCGAGTGCAGCGGCTACATGCCGGCGGCAGCGACGCAATCTCGGGGATCACCTGGGATGGCTGGAGCTACAGCTACGAGCTCGAGGAGGGCAAGCCTGTGAGGCTTGACAATGTGACTGTTGGGGAGACTGTGGAGGTCAGGGACGGTCAGGTGCGGGTCGACGTGGCTGCGAGCGAGGCGGTGATTCTGAGCCGCGTGGTCGGATGTAGCAGGTGGTTCTAATTGATACACAATACGGTAAATAATTGAAGAAAATTGCGTATATGGTAATGGGCTGCGGCATGAAGGTTGACTGGTACCGGATATATCGCCGTGTGGCTTTACAAAATTAATCATCTGGATTGAATTCTTGGTACATATATATATGAAACTAGATACATAAATAAACGAGGTTGATCTTTTCTGTTTGAACACAGAACCCACATATGAGTGTAGGAATCAGCGAAGACCATTTAAATAGATCCAATAAGATGTAGCAAAAGAATAAAAAAGTCTATGACAACATTTGACAATACAATAGCCGCAACTTGATGCAACTCATCCACCCAAGACACTCAAGACATTCATTACTCATCCATCAGCAAACACCACCTTTCCAAGCTCTACCCTGAGAATCAACAAGCCCATAAGTCAATGGACTAACGGCACGTAACTGCGAATACCCGAGGTAAAAAGTCTCACAAATAGCGTAGTCTGTCTTCAAGGGCGTATCCTCAAAATAGCAGTAGACCGTAACCCCATTGAAAATGGCAATAAACACATTGTTCAAGACTCATATACCTACCTTCTTACAACTAGTACCCATAGCTTCGTGGGAGGGGACCAAATCAACAGCCATCACAAAACAGACAAGCAGTTAAAATTTGAATGATAAAACACATGACTGAGTGGGTGGACTTGGCAACGACACCGCAGCACAACATCCCAAGAGAGCATTCACTACAAACCGAGAAATCCCAACCTTGACACTCAATATAGTACACTTCACGCCGCCGAATCATCGTCCTAGCCAGTCTAGTATACACTCATCAAGATCCTCGCGTATCGAAGCACGACGGAAAGTGGGAGAAAAAAAAAAGTCTGCGCCGTAAACCTATACTTGATCACCTGTCACATCGTACATACACACTCATGATCACGCAGCAGCCAGATCCACATCAAAGCTCACAAATATACTCAAGTTTGAGTTGATATCATTGACGCAGACATATAATCCGCTAATATACATGAGATTCATCACTCCTATGTAATCCCATACTAACCCCGTTTTGCCAGAGGCACATCCCGCAAGACCACCCGCTGGTATCATAACCCGAAGCGGTGAGATGTAATATAAAAAAAGAAAAATAGTGTAGTAGTAATGATGCTATAAATTCCACGCCAGCACCTCCATTAACAATCAAATGATATACCTCCCATGTCGTCACGCTCTCAATTCAGCCATACTGTTGCCTCAAAGGCAACTTGCGATCTAGGGTATGGAAAGCCATCGTGCGTGGAGTATACGGCACGACCCTTGGCGTCGCGGGGCCCTTCATGTTGTGTAGCTCCCATTCTCTCTCCTTGGGATCGACGGGTGAGCTGTTCGAGTCGGACCCGGCGGCGCCCTCCTCCTCGTCGTCCATCTTGTCCCACTTGTTCGGCAGACACACGTACACGGCGATGCCGAGGCTCGCGATGAAGATGGCGAGCATGTACACGGTGGCAGCAAACGTGCCCTTGGCGAGCTGACACGACTTCTCGGCCTTGAAGGGCCGGCCGAGCGAGCACGGCTTGCTGATGTACCATGCAATGCTGCTCGGGTACCGCGGGTCCGCGTGGTCGGGACCCATCTGGCCGTACACGGAGACGGTGTACATGGCGACCATACAGACGTTGATGATGACGGCGAGGAGGGGGAACCAGAACTTCATGATGAAGCACACAAGCTTCGTGAGCAAGAGGAAGAGTGTTATTACGGAGAGAGCAACATTGAAGTCGGTTAGACTGCGGCTAGTTAGTGGCCTGTTGACGATGCTGACGGAGATGGTAGAAAGACTCACGTCCGCGTCCATACAAGAGGAATCTTGGGCAACGGCTCAAAGTTCGCATAGGCGTAGAGGATAATGTTGGGGCTCGAGTTGAAGCCGTAGGCGTGGCCGACTTCCCACAGCTTGGTTCGATATAGATCCGGCTGGGCAATGCCGAAGAGGACGAGCACAGTGATGAGCCCGGCCAGCTCTAGAGGAAAGATGGCCCACATGTATGGCCTGAGAAGCCATCTCCTCTGGAGAATCTTATACGCCATTTCTGGTGTGTTGAATTATTCCAAGATTCGAAAACTGTAGAATTCCTGACTCCACAGTCGCCTTGTTCTCTCTTTTCTCGACAAAACTCGACTCTCGGTTTCTCACTCCTCCGGTATTGAAAGGGGCGGTGCTGTTATTCTGATTTCGCTCGAGACGCAGTTGTCGCCGAAGCAAACAGTTGGAGGATTTCACATCGGCCAAGCACCAGCACTCGACCTGGGGTATCAAAGAGTCAATTCAACCACCTCATCAGCTTGTCGTCCTCGTTTTCATTTGGTCGCGATCTTCAGAGACGGGAGAAGAGGAGAGGAGAAGGGCCGCCCCAGCCCGGTTTGGGGGGCAGGGTGGCAGTTTAAGGGCCCATCCATCACTTGCAGATTTCACCAGTTCCCGTTGCAATGCTCCCTCCTTTCCCCCCAGAGCTCGCCCATTCACCATTCGTCGTTGAGGGGGGCGAGACGGTGGGCGGCGGTGGTCGGGTCAGCTTAGGGTCGCGGCATTGGACGGCTGCTGCATGTGCCGTGGTTGACAATCACAGCGGCGGTGCCCAATGAGGAACGGAGTAGAGGAGAGCTGCTAAGCGCCGAGCTGGAGAGGGGCCGTCGATTGGTCGGGCCCCGGACAGAACAGCCAATGGGAATGGCGATACGCAACTGTTGCGCACAATACCCGCTGGGAAACAGGACAGAACACTACAGGGGTGGTCAATTGGGCGGGATAGATGGCTGGGGGCCGTTATTCGGCTGAAGCTGTGGCCCGAGGGACAGGAGGCTAAGATCAGCTTTCGTGCGATGCTGGTGCGATGAGACTGGGGACGCCGCAGAGAATCAAGGATGAATCGGCGTGATTGTCTGCATCGATGCACTGTGATGACCGCTAAACTTTCCAGAAACTGAAATGTCAACGTGATGCTGTTGGTTCCCCTGAGCATCGGCGCTTGCTGCAAAGTGGTCTCGCGATTTATGGATCTGATAAAGCGGGCCGGCGGTTGACGGCCTGCCAACCGGCATATTGGCAACAAGCGGGAACACCCATGGACCAGGACGTCTAGACACGAGCGGCGAACACACGGGACGGGGACTGCTAACCGGACACCGAGAACCTGAAGTTTGCAGCCATGATGCTGCCAAACCTTCACTTATTATGACAAGCTTCCCTTGTGGTGTCTGGAAGTAAGTTTGGATGGATGTCTGTAGAAGGCCACGCTATCGGAAATCCCACACTCGTGAGCTTACTAGTAGGTGAGCGACGATCCGATCTGCTGGTAATAGCCGAAAGACGATCGCCCAAGATATTAATAGAGAACCTACTTGACTGCCACCTCGAATGAATTAAACCCACGTCGTGCGTACCACCCAGCAAGTGCGTGTTCTCTGCGTGGGTGAATGCCATTACGACGAACTGAAGTGTTCTTAATTTGGCACCAACTACGACGTACCATATTAGTAGCTGTAGCAGAGCCATCAGACGAACCCATTAATTAGACTGGCTCAAGTCCGCGCCGGTCGTGCACGATTTGAAGTGCTTGTTCTTGCAGCCCCAGAGACGGCGTGACCCCTTGCGCATCACTGAAATGCCGTCGCAACACTTGGGTCAGCCGCACACTCGACCATTACAGCTGAGTGAGATTCCGCGAATGCTCAGACAACACCAAAGGCGCCTCATGGCTGAAACGGAAATTGAGATTCCCATGCTGAGAGCGAGGAATGAAGAACCAAGGCCGCATCGAGATCTACTTGAACAAAGGATTAGACAGGAATGGTATTTCCTGACTGCCTGTGAATGACTCCCTACCATCAAAGGGGGACCATCTGCGCTCTGCCATAAACCTGCGAGTGAGAGAAAGAGGCTGTTCCATTCTAACGGGGACATAGGGCTGATTCCATGCATCTGACAATAGCAAGAGTCCACATTGGCACTGGCTCGCTCAAGGCGGCATAATGATCACTGGTGGGTACAGACGGCGTGTTACTCTTGGTCTAGTACGGTAGGAGGCGGTATGACGAAAGGGGCTTCAACCCTCTAGTTTCTCTTGGTAATGCTATATCGAACCTACGGTTTATTGTCCGGTAGGTGTCGTGTGCAATGGAGCACTTGGTCGGATTGTTGACAGGGGCTCAAGCATGCGTGCCAGGCGGGTATTGGTGATTGGATCTCGTAATTGAGTCGACCGGGGCGACTCGTCCGGAGAACAGACCAACAGTTTTCATTCTTCTCTGGCTGGCACGACGCAGACTTCCGGAGCGGAGGCCGATGTGGCATTTGAGACGGTTGTAGCACCTCCTCGTCAGGCATTCTTCGTAGTTGGACATAATCTATTGAATGGAAGACATGGACAACAGCTTATCCATATGTGCAATCACCTAATCTCTTCATGGTTAAGGCGGGAGGACTTCCGAATTCGCCCGTGAAACGACTTGTAAGCGCAGAATGTGTCCCATCCCTCTACCGAAAAGGGCATATCAAGGCTGTTTGGCTGGCCTTTTAAATTTTGAACTGTCTTTCGCCGGGTTTGTTGAGTCTCCCCAGGTCCGAGGTGAGACTTTGGGGGCTGCCTGACGTCGACGTCACCTTTACGCTAGCCGGGATGAAACGGCATGTCAGTCGCTCTTTGAGGGCAGACTGAGGATTTGCGCTGCTCTCTTTCTGCGCCCTCCAAGCATCCCTCTCGAGGAGGCATGGCTCACAGAGGGGTCTCAGTCAACATGCAACCGTCAGTGTACTAGAATGTGTGCTTTTGGATGAAAATGGAGCTAGCCAGACTGGGTCATGCCTGGTTGGCCAAGTCCCGAGCCGTCCGGCTGTTCGGTTGCTTAGGTGGGTGGTGTTAGTGGTAGCTGGCTAGTTTGTCCGCACGGGGGCTGGACAGCCACATCCTGTCGACCTGACTTGTGCCTAAATCCATGGACAACGCGTGAAGATTGACCAGAACTCCAAACGTCGTTCAGCGGGCATCGAAACGCCAGAGGAGGCGAGGGAGCTGCTCCTTGTCACCTTGCGCTCTGTGAATGGGGGTGATTTCTGTTGATCATGGATAGAGAGGCGACATGTCTTGTTCCTCCTCGCGACAGCCGGCACTAGAGACAGTCAGAGACGGCGTGGCACTGGATACTGTACGGGCTGCTGTCCCCCGCCAGGGCATCTTTAGAAAAAGGCATAAGGAATTCTGAACTAGAAGTCCTGACTGAATGCAACAAGATCCGGGTCCTTAGTGCCGGGATGCAAAGACTTCCGTCTGTTAATGCAACGCTATCGCTAGACGCTTGCTCGAGTAGGTGCAAGCTTCATAACCTGCTAGTGTCAAAATGATAATTAAAATAAAGAGATCGAATCTTGATCTGTAATGGCATCAAAAAAATAAAGAAAGGGACCAACATTTGACCAGACTCACGTAGGACATATCGGGAAAGAGGAAATCGTGATGGAAGGGGGGCAAAGGGCAACCGGCAGCAGGCTCAACTGACAGGCGTCTACTACCGGAATGGGACCAATAACACGGGGCTTTCTGGCAGGTGACGATCACCGATCGGCGATCTAGAAGTGGGGGCGACCGCGGTCTAGAACGCGCCAGTGCGAGACCGACAAGGGGTATTCAGACTCCAGACTAAGACAAGGCCCCATGCTTGTGCCTCCCCCCCTTCTTCGGGGGTTTCTGGATGGGATATGCTTTGGCTTTTCTGTTTCCCATCCCATTAATCCACGGAAATCCAATCTCGACTAAACTTGTTGCTACTGCCGTCGATGAGTGCAAATCAGTTGGCGTCTATGGAATGACGGGCTGTTGCCGCTGTGCGATGTCTGGTTAGAAGGATAATATCGACTGTTTCTTTCGTCATTCTGGTACTTTTCCCTGTGTACTCCGTACCTTTTATCTTAGTAGGCCGCACAAAGTGACCTGGCCATGATATGTGATTGATACATATGGTACATGGTCGTACACACACACACACACACACACACACACAACAACATCAGACGTCTTGCGTTGGGCATCGGTGAGAGCATCGGCTAGGAACATCACTACCTTTTTCTTGGACTTTTATTCTATTTTAGACTTACAAGACCCTCGCTGTCTACCCAACAAGTACAAATGCAGCCTCCCGATGTCACTAGGGCATGCATCCCTGGGCGAGTCGCGGCAAAGATACCAGAATGGCCAACAAGAGAGTCAATTGGAGGTGTATGGTCTTTGCTTTTTGTCACTGGTTTCCCGTTTTTTTTTTTTTTTTTTTCGTGGTGCTCCCAAATGACTCAATAGGCCGCTTCCGTTTTGAATACATTCCTGGATATGGGAACAGAGACACAGAGGCGATGCGACCCGTTGCATGCAAAGGCTATTTCACATTGGTTTCCAGGTGAGCCACCACACTACGCACTACACACTACACATACAATGCCAGACCAAATTCTGAGGTACCTATCTATTTTTCCACAAGACATTTCACCTCCTCCTTCCCACCACAGTGACCTGTAATGCCGCCACTATTACTATCTTCTACAAAAAAAAAGGGAAGAGAAACAAGAGCGAGAAGGCACAAGAAGACTATTCGCCGCTGGTGCAACGTAGCCTTGAAGCATTTTACTACCAACTCAGGTTACTCGGTCACTCAGTTCCTTATCCCCATGTGTTGGATGTCATTCAAATGTCGCGGCTCCAGCCAATAGCCACCGCAGGCTTCGGTGTGAATATCACTCTTCGCCTTAATCCTCGTCTCCTTACCCAGCAAGGCAGTGATCACCAGGACGAAAGGGACCAGGTACCTCGTGTATGGGTGACACCCAGTTTGCCAGGTCACACAGCTCCAGTCAAACCGCATTTTGCGGATTTCGGACAGGATGCCGGCACATATTGATTGGCTGCTTCTTCCCTTGACAGAACCGTGTAGTTAAGTAGGGGTTCACTGGAGCCACCATTACGTTGTCGCATAAGTTACTAGACCCAAGATGAAGACTGACGGGGATGCGGCAGGTGCGCGAGAGTAGATGGATTCTTCTAGGAGATTCTCATGCCCTAGGGTACTAACGCGACGTATGAAGCATGATGCCAGCCCTGGGGAACTAGGGGAGAGAGGGCAGGGGCCAAGGGGAAAGGGGGGTTCTTGCTTGGCTGCCACTGTTCTACCTGCGTTTTTCACCAGAAATGCGAGGAGCTTACGGTGGTGGTACAGAGCGAATCTGACTTTACCGTCAATGTTCAAACTAAGCCACTTGGGCTAAGCAGCGGGAAAGAGGCACGATGAATAGATGGCAGCACGAGGCCGCCCGAGAGCGCCACGAGGCACGGACCGCCGTGTGCTGCCTCAAAATCCAATCCTCTAGACGGTAGCTAATGGTATATACACGCCCCTTTGATTTTCCCTTTTTCCCTTTTCTTTCTCCATCTCCCTTTCACAGCTTACACTTGGCGGCAAATAAAGTTTCCGCGCGGCATTAGTGTATAGATGGTACATGGCACAGTCGGTCGTTTGGTCGTTTTCTATTCTGTAGTGCCTCGTTTCTAGTGGTGTTTGTCATTCGACCGGACTAAAGTCCACTCGCTTGGAACAGAAGCGGGACCCACAGATGAGGAAGCAAAAAGACCAGATGTGATTGGGCAGAAGCTGGGACTTGGCATCATAAATGGAGATCCGAGGCACTGGCTGGCTGGACCTGGGCCTGTTTGGTTACGAAGCCTGCAGATGGGATGTCCCCGCCCGCGCGGAGGAAAAGGAAAGTAGGGAAGAAAGAAAAAAAAGATGAGGAAAAAGGAAAAAAAAAAGATGATGACGAGTAAGGGGAAGCATCGGTATCATTCCCCGCTGCATTGTGCAGATTCGCCTAGCAACCGGATCACTAGGTTTGCCTGACATCTGGAGACGTCAGAAGAGATGGGATGTATATCGTAATAGTGCGGGATGAGAAGTAACAGCAACTGCACCAGCAAAAGTATCAAAGCACTGCTCGGCGCCCGAACAAGCCCAAGAGATTCCAGACCCGGGTCCAAATACCACGCTGCCATCTGCCACCCCAGGTGCCCAGCTGTGTCCCCCTGCAATCCGCCCCCCAAATCGCTAGCTTGTGGCCCGAAACCCGGTCACCTCCCATCCTGGCCTAGCATCAGTGCGGTACGAACACTAATACTATGTCGTACTGGTAAGCTGTTGAGGTACTCCGTAATTGTGTAGCCGGCCTGCCAATACAGCATGGCACAAAGTAGCACAGAGAACGAAGGCGCTCTCTTTTGCTCTTCTTCGCTCTACTCCTCCTGCTCTCATTCTCATAGATGCATATCGGCTCAAACACTCTCGTGCTTACACATTTCGTTAGACTACTTACTAACAAAACAAGACTTATCATTCTTGCTGATGTTTCCGTCGGTGGCAGGTAGGCAGGGGCCACCTAGCTTGAGAACCTTGCGTTCCATGTATCCCATGTAGCCTGGCCTTTTTCTACAATACGTCGCTGCGGGGAGGTAACGGAGTGGCAAGTACATGGTAAAGACAGCTGGCAATGAATAACGATAGATAAAAGAACTAAACGTAAAATAAAGATAATGAAAATAAGGAACAACCCAACGGCAACCGAAGCGGGAAATAAAGGGAAGGAAGGAATTGAAGGAAGGGAAGAGCGCGCTGCACACCCACACCTTGCCACTTTCCCACCTTTCACCTGCCCTTGCCTGTACATAATAGTAATGCCAATGTATCAATGACTAGACCTTTGCTCCTTCCACGGCCACGCACACAGTCACTCTCTTACATACATAGCAGCAGGTACACAGCTTGGAGCACACACGCATTACATACTTTAGTCCACCACCGTCGCGGCTGCCTTTTTAACGTAGTACTATAGTAAGGAGCTTCCTGCCTGCTTCTCCCACCCCAGACCTTGCTGCTCCTGCCTTCCCTGTCTTCCCTGCCATCGCCGTACCTTAGCACCAATTTGCCTGAACAGACCACGGGCAGACCCAAACAAGACCAAGCCAGTCCAGACCGGACCACATCAGATCAGCCAAAGCAGCAGATTCCCAGCCCAAAGAAGCTGACGACCAAAGAAAAGAGAGCGAAGGAAAAAAAAAAAATCTAGGTCGACCGTAGCCGAGCCAGACACTAATACGACGCTCCCCTTGGCTTGGCTCCTCTCTTCATACACTGAGATCCCCGATTTCACATACTGCGTCTCGATTTCTCTTCCCCGATCCACGTCCATCCATCTATCCACAACTCCACGACAACGAACAAGACCAAACACGACAGAGAGAGTCACCAGATAGAGCACACCCCTATGCCGCCTTGTTCTCACCTGCAGAAGTCCATCCTATCCCAGCCCCTAACTCACCCGCGCACACCTACACCTGCGTTTGGCTATCTGCCTGACCATATCGCGTGTTCCACTGAGCGCACCCCTACGACAAGCCCTCTCTCACTCACAGAGGAGAGCAGAGGCGGAAGAAACGACCCCGGGAGACCGACACAACTTGAGGTGAAGCTGAAGCGTTTTCAAAATAGGACACTCACTAGTAGTACTGAGCGTATCACTGGCACCAGCCAGTAACAACAACAACAACAACACCCAACACCACCGCTGCCTGCAGCACCCGGCGCAACAAACGCCCAACATAGCATTACGCCGTGCAGCATCGCGCACTTCTGGTATCGCATTACACCCTATTCCTTTTCATTATTGCTGCTGCTGCTACTACTGCTGCCGCCGCTGCCAAACATCCACCCCAAGTGCCCACGTTGTCCACTACACCTCGTGTGTGGTGTTGACCGGAAGCTCGACAGACTGGATTGGGATCATTTTCATATTGGTAATTTTTTTTTTTTCCTCTATAGTTTCTTTCCTATCCCCTTCGCCTTGCGCTGTATCTATTGCCTCCTCCCTGCCACTTCTCATCCCTCCCGCTGCGACTGTTGGCTTCCGGGTGTTGCGGCTCCCAACTTTAGCAGTCTTTGCTTTGCAGCTCTGATTCGGCCAGCCCAGCCCACACTACTCTCCTTCTTCCCCAGGGTGCTGCAATACCTACCTACCTATCCACCCCCCCCCCCCCCCCCCCCCCCCCCCAGTCCCAGTCGTTGTATCCCCTTGAAGCCTGCCTGTCCTGGTAAACCCTAGCCAGCCAGGCCTCCTTCCATCCCATCTTTTCTGTTGCAGGCCATTCCCTTTCCACTCCATGGCCCGAGAGAAGGCCCTTTGAAGACTTCCTCATTCAACCGCCGCACTCCGCCTCCACTCAGGTAGGGCAAGTCTGGCCAGTTGCAGGTGATAGAGGTGGAAAAACAGAGAGGGAAGGTGAGAGGGAATAGTACCACATACAGTAGTAGTAGGGCATCTTTCTCTCGAGCATGCTGTACTCGCGCACACCCCCTCGCCCCCCCCCCCCCCTTCTGCACTTTACCGCTAATTCCTACCGCTCTCGCTACCACTTCCTCCCCTCCCTAACAGCCCACTATACCACCGCCGCACATCTCCACCTCCACCTTTCCCTCGGTGCCTGTGGCCTGCTAAGCTCGCTGCACCTGTGCCCGCCTCGCGTCTGTGCTCCCCTCGTGCCTTTCCGCCTCTGCTCTGGCCTATCTCTGCCTCATTCTCCCCCGTCTCCGCTGTCGCTAAAACGAACATTTTAGTTTGGGCAGGGGAAGAGTACCATACGCTGAGAGTAGCCACGAGACGAAAATTTCTAGTCCGGTCCGACTCTTTCGGCCGCTCATTCTCTCCCCTTCTTCCTGCGCATTCATGCCGAAGGGCGACGACCGTTTTCCTCAACCCGCCATACACCTGCTTGCCCCCTCGTCCTCTCCGACGATCCGACCCCATTGTGCTACCGGACAACTCTCTCTTGCCCCGACGACTGCGACAACCACGGCGACGACGACCTCGAAAACGAAGGCGCCGAACATTTTTGCTCCCGCCGCCGCCGCCTTTTCCAAACCCGTGGCTCCTGCCTTTGCCTTCTCCGCCGGCTCGAACGTCAATTTCTTCCAGGGCCCGGGTACCCAGTCCTTCGCCAACCCTCGCTACCTCCCCGCCTCGCCGCCCCCGACAACAAACATATACACGCCGGAGGGGCCATGGACAACTCCCGACATTAGTCGGTATGGTTTGACATATAGCGCTACAGCTTGCGAGAATCCCTTTGACGCCGTCTCCAAGTCCCTCTTGACGCCCACGTCCGATCCCACGTCTCCCGTCACAAGCTCCCCCCCAGCACCACAATCGCGCCCGCGCTTGACAAGGCCGTTGACCCTGCCGGGGAAGCGTCAGCCAGATGAAGAGACGGCCCAGATCCAGGTACACTCGTCGCCGCTGAAGAAACCGCGTACCCGCCTAGCTCCTCCGAAAAGCATCGACTTACCCAAGGCACCCTTCCCATCAGCCATATTTGCGAGACAGAACCAAAGCGTCACCTCCCCCCTGTTCTTTTCTTCCTCCTCCACCAGGAGACAGATGCCCCCTCGCCCAAACCCTCTACCCCCCTCCGACGCTGCCGCTGTCCTGCTGGCTCGTCTGAGGGAGGATGCCGATGGAATCCACACCGTTCGTCTGCCCCGCGGCACCATTAACACACAAAGCCCGGCCCGGTCTGGTAGCACCCCCGGGAGCAGTAGCTTGTCGTCCTCCGCAGAAGCGACGTTAAACTCGTCGCGGAGTCCCAACAGCCAATCCGTCCCTCCCGGATTGCAAATACTACGGGGAATCGGCGTCGTCGAGCTTCTCGAGCAGGATGAGCGCCCTACATTCATTATAGACCTGGCGAATCCGGTCAACACGCTGAGATCCGCCCTCCACCTGCTCTATGCTAACGCGGCTCTTCGAGCGTCTGTTGGCGTTTTGGAGTTGCTCTCAGTGGAAGGTGAAGAGGCCGCCAAGAACCCCCAATATACTCATTTCAAAGCTTGGGTCATGAGCTTTGTCAAGAACCAGGAATCAATGGATGTCTGTCTTCCCTCGCACAGTTATGGCGGCATCACCTGGACCTGCTCAACCCTGCGCAAACGCTTTCGATTCGTCAGCGGTAACTTGAGTGCCGTGTCGACGGCGCCTGATTCACCCGGTCCGCTCGCTGAAGAGGCGGCCGTCCTTGAGCAGCGGAGTAGAGGCCCAACTCCGCCACAATCCAACAACGTCCAGATGGATGACGAGCCCGACTATTTCGGCGACATCGCCTCCGAATCACACGAGTTGGACGACGCACAAACCGGCGATGACTGTGTGATGGTCGATGATGGCGAGAGGCACCATACCGACGAGTTCACCCAGCAAGTATTTCAAGCTGCCTTTATGAAACCGTCCTTTGATTGGACACGTATACAAATTACACCCGACCTGAACAAACACATCCTTTTCTGCCGGAATACTGACTGGGCTTCTACACCGCTCGGTCCTATCGAGCACTGGGGTGCCGACTTGAGGGCTATGGCGAATATGGTCATGGGCAGCCCCCACCCCGCAGCCATGTACTGGGGCGTCGAGAATATCATCATTTACAATGAAGCGTACGTTGAACTCGCCGGTCAGAAGCACCCTAACCTCATGGGTATGCGGTACAAGGACGGCTGGTCCGAAATATGGAACGACCTCGAGAGTGTGGTCAGTAGCGCCTGGGATAATGGCCAGTCAGTTATGAAGAACGACAATCAGCTCTTCATCATACGACACGGATTTTTGGAAGAGACCTTCTTCTCTTGGTCCATCATCCCACTGCTAGGCTCTGATGGCCAGGTTGTGGGACTCTACAACCCGGCTTTTGAAAACACCCGCCGCAAGGTCAACGAACGCCGCATGTTGACACTGCGGGAAGTTGGTGAGAAGACGGCTGCCGCTAAAGACGTTCGGAGCTTTTGGCCAAGAGTCAAGGAAGGTCTCGAATTCAATGACTGGGACGTACCATTTGCCCTCATTTACTCTGTGAAAGAGGATAACGAGAGTGAAGTATCTTCTATGCACTCCGGGAGCATCGCACACCCACCCCTTTTGCAACTGGAAGGCACGTTGGGCGTACCTGATGGGCACTCAACAGCTCTCACGCACCTCGACCTTAAAACCTCAGATGAAGGCTTTGCGCCTTATATGCGCCAGTCCATGACCATGCAAGGAGCACCCATCGTTCTCTCAGCGGAGTCTGGTAATCTGCCAAGCAAGCTGCTCGAGGGACTTGAGTGGAGAGGCTTCGGGGACCCATCCAAGACGATCGTTATCCTGCCTGTTCATCCTACCACGGCTGGTGAGTCTGTGGTGGGCTTCATTGTCTTGGGCACCAACCCTCGTCGGCCGTATGACGATGACTACCAGCTCTTCATTCACCTCTTGTCCAGACAACTGGCAACGTCGATGGCGTCGGTCGTGTTATTTGAGGAAGAGATCAAGAGGGGCCAGAGGGCTGCGCGCTTGGCCGCACTGGATCGCCAAGAACTGCAGATGGAACTATACCTCAGAACACAAGAGGCAGTGGAGAGCGAATACAAATTCACGCGAATGGCCGAGTTCGCACCGGTTGGTATCTTCATTGCTAACGACAAGGGCGACATTAATTTCGCCAACGACATGTGGTGGCAAATCTCGCGGCATCCACGGACGGAGGATAGCGTCAACACCTGGATGCAGAGTGTGAAGGATGAAGATCGCCCGAATGTTGAGCGTTCTTGGAAGAAGCTCATTGAAGATAAGGAGGCCATCACCATCGAGTTCCGTTTCAAGTGCAGCCGTCAGAACGGAGTCATAACTATCGACACCTGGGTTCTGCTGAGCGCGTTCCCGGAACAGACCGAGGACGGTAACTTGAAGAGCATCTTTGGCTGCATCACAGACATCTCGCCCCAAAAGTGGGCCGAGGATTTCCAGAAACAGCGCAGGGAAGAAGCGGTCGAGCTCAAGCGACAGCAAGAGAACTTTATCGACATAACCAGCCACGAGATGCGCAATCCCCTCAGCGCGGTTCTTCAATGCGCAGATGAAATCGTCAACAGCATTACCGATTTCCGCGCACAGCAGAACAACGACGAGGAGCTGGGGACGCTGTTGGATAATTGTACCGAAGCCGCCAACACCATCAATCTTTGCGCGAGCCACCAGAAGCGTATCGTGGACGACGTGCTCACCCTCTCGAAACTCGATTCCCAGCTGTTGTTAGTCACGCCGGTCGATTCGCACCCTGTGACTATCGTGCGGCACGTTATAAAGATGTTCGAGTCGGAGCTAAACACGCACGACATCCGTCTAGAGTTCTCGATTGAGCAGGCATACCTTAACCACGCTGTCGACTGGGTTAGACTAGATCCGTCGAGACTAAGACAAGTCTTGATCAACCTCATGACCAACGCCATCAAGTTTACCCAAGGTCGCGAGAGGCGCGAGATCACAATGAGGATGAGCGCTTCAAAAGATATTAGCGAAGTAACCGGAAAGGGCGTCTCATTCTTCCCCAGTCGCAAGGAAGATGTCCGAGCCCTGACACAGGAGAAGGATTGGGGCAATGGAGAGGAAATCAATCTTCACTTTTCTGTCCAAGATACGGGACCGGGTTTGCGTGAGGATGAGAAAAAGCTGCTCTTCCAAAGGTTTTCGCAAGCCTCGCCACGTACTCATGTACAATATGGCGGCTCAGGTCTTGGTCTCTTCATATCAAGGATGCTTGCGGAGTTGCAAGGCGGCCAGATTGGCGTCATCTCAGAAAAGGGTATCGGCAGCACCTTTGCATTCTACGTTAAATGCCGGAAAACGCCAGCCCCCAGTTCAGAATCGGCAACGCTCTGCGCTCTCAATCTCGCAAGACCCGCGAAAGCCCTGCCGACCTCTTCCCCGTCGACTCCACCTCCTACCACCCTGCCGCGGCGAACTTCGTACCGGAAGCCGCAGCCTGACGGCCCCGCACCTTTGGATGTGTTGATCGTGGAAGACAACATTGTCAATCAAAGAGTTCTCCAGAAACAACTCAAGAACTGCGGCAACAACACTCATGTTGCGAACCACGGTGGCGAGGCTCTCGATCAGCTGAAGAAATCTCGTTTCTGGTCCGGAAAGGAGGCGGAAGGTTTCGACCTGAGCGTAATTCTCATGGACCTCGAGATGCCTGTTATGGACGGAATGACATGCGCGAGGCGTATCCGCGAGTTAGAAAGAGAAGGCACTCTCATCTCACACATTCCCATCATCGCCGTTACGGCTTACGCGCGACCCGAGCAAATTGCAAGCGCAAAAGCCGCTGGCATCGTAAGTAACGACTATAAGTATCATATATACAACATTTGGCTGACATTGCACCACAGGATGATGTGATTTCGAAGCCCTTCAGGATACCGGACTTGATACCCAAGATTGAGGAGTTGGTTGCGAAATACAACACTTTAACTACTGCAGACTCAGTGGCCTCGGCATAAGCGGCAAGAGGCTCGATAAATCGTCTGCCTTTGAGCTTGTCACCTACAACAAGCTTTTGTGTCATCGACATGGCACAGAATAGCCCCACTGGCTCTCGAAATCTGTGGCGGCGAGTTTCCATTTTACTTTTATGACGGCCATGTTCTCTCCTGCATCAAGGGTACGGGCCAGACAGGCGTTCATCGGTGTAACTGACATAAAAAGACTCGGAGACGGAGAAACGGCTTAATTGGGTATGGTAGGGATTGATTTTCAGAAGCATCCGGAAGAACTAGGACTGGAGTCTGGAGGGCGGATTGCATACGAAGCGCGGACGAGTAACGGGGTAAACGGAGGGGGTGTAAACTCCGCTGAAGATGAAATGTTTTTTTCAAGTATAATGTATCCTAGATCGATGTGTTCCAACTCGGACTATCGTGTGTAGAGATATCAAAAGACAAATCCTATTTCAGAAGAGATGCTTGTTGTTATCTTGTGCCATCCGTCCGATCAAGTGCCCATGAATGGGCATTGGCCCGTGTCCCTAACGTTGCGCACAGGCCAGCTTCGAAGCTTACGTAACGAAGATTTTTCTCTAGCTTCAGACGCCTCCAAGTCAGTCGAGGTCGAGGATCAGGAAGCTCACCACTCCAGACAGACATTGATCGCGGACCTGTCGTCGATCCCACTCCCCCCAAACAAAGATGCACCAGCAGGCTCTGCGATCGGCCGGCAGCCGGATAAAGCCAGACGTCGTTGCCGTCAAGACGTGCATACGAACCTTTTCCACCACGCAATTGCGCGCCGCCGATCCCTCCAACACTAGCAGCAATGAGAAGGGCGCCGCCCCTAGACAGCCGACCGGACGAGAGCGATCCCGCGCCGCCGCCAGCGAAATCGGTCAATTGCTGAGAGGAGGTTCGAATGCTAAGCCTCTGTCGTCCGGTGGCCCCAATGCTGCCGCCGCCCCCGCGAAACCCAAGGTCATCGACATCAAGACCCTACCCACCCGCGGCGGCTCCAACTTTGTCAAGGTCCCCTCGAGCTTCAGAGGACGCGGCGGCGGCGCTGGTTTGGGACGAGGAGGACGCCCTGGGCTCCAGAGTGGCAGAGGAGGATTCGCCGCGCGCGGAAGAGGAGGCAGCGCCAGAGGCGGTCGCGGCGGTCGTGGTGGTGGTGGTGGTGGCGGCCGTCCGCCCCGTAGAAGGAGGGACGGCGAGGAGGACCCAAGGGAGAGGAAGGACCGCGCGGAGGAGTGGGAGCGGTTTTACCGTCCCGAGACGGCGGAGGAGCACGCGTGGTACCAGGGCCGCGACCACGGCGTCGCCGAGGCGTTCAAGCCCTCCATGACGGCAGAGTCGCTGCTCGGCTTCACGCCCGCGCTGGCCCTCGGCCAATCCGTGACCGCCAAGGAGAGCTCCGTCCTCTTGAAGCTGAGGGACGTCGCGGGCAACGCGAGTTACTCGCCCGATAGCTGGCAGCTGGCGGAGCACGTTGCCAAGGACCTCGCGTACAAGGGCAACGGTGTGCATTTTTTCAGCAGCATCGAGGAGAAGACGCATTTCCTCAAGACCATCAAGGAGATGCCCGAGGACAAGATGTCGAGCTACGTCAAGGCGATCCGCGAGGCGAAGCTGGAGGAGGGCGCCGAGAAGGCCGTGAGGGAGTACATTGTCGAGCGCACCATCAAGGGCAAGCACCAGGCGCCGCAGTCTGTCGCGGTCGGCAAGGAGCCGGCGAAGATGGCCGCTCAGGGTATCATTCACAACTCGTCGTATCACCTGGACGATTCAAAGAAGTTTGATGCTAAGATTGCCTCGCTTGTCGCTAGAGCCAAGTCTGCTGCTGCTGCTGCTGCTGCTCCTCCTCCTGCCAAGGGCAAGGCCGCGAAGGCTGCAAAGGCTTGAGGTGGGTTGTCTCTCGAGGAAGAAAAAACAAAAAAACAAAAAGCGAGCGAACGGGATGGGAGGGAGGAGGGGCTGCGTTGTAGGATTAGGGACCTGAAAAGCACACATTCATGTTGTACATTTAGATATCAAAGTCTCTTCCAACTGTACACTACAGATTTTGACTTTGTGAGGCTAGTATTGCAAAACCACACTTTTTTTTTCTTTTCTTTCCAACACCACCGAGAAGACTCTTAATTCTTTGTTGCATTTTCAACATGGTAATGTACATATATGTCTTCTAACCTTTCAACTACCGTGTCCCGTAGAATAATCTCTTGCTTATTGGAGCTTCCTGACAGCCTGCTGCTCGGCCGTCTCGACAGCCTTCATCTCCTTGTCCTGCAACTTCTGCAGCTCCTTGTCGGCGCGCCTCTTGAGGTCCGGCACGATGCTGCCGTCCTTCTGCCACTTTGCGTGCACCTTCTTGCGCTTCTCGGTGGCGGTGCGCATCTTGTCCCTCCACGCCTGCGCGGCGTCCTTTGCGCGGCGGACGACGACGTCCTTGTTCTGGGGCTCCACCTTGAGGATCAGCTCGAGCTCGTTGTCCGGGTCCCGCTGCGGCTGCTGGTTGAAGTCTGCCGAGGCCTGGATCGCGGACATGACGGGCTTGACGTAGTCCTTCTCGTGGAGCAACAGGGAGACGGTGCGGCCGCCGGGACGCGGCACGATCTCGGCGAGCTCGCGGAGCGGGTATGTCGACGGGTCCTTCTTGGAGGGCTGGATCGTCAGGGCGCCGATGGCGTCCGGCGAGAAGCGGTCGCCTGATTGCAGCTTCTTGAGGATCTCGGTGTGGTACGCTGCCAGGCTCTGGAAGCGCGAGGCGACGTCGGCGAAGTTGAGGGGTTCGGTCGGGTCTGGCTTCGGGTGCTTCGACCCCGGCACGTCGTCCGGGTCGGACTCGTGCTCGGCGGGCGCGGCGTGGGAGGTGCGGGAGACGACGTCGGGAGAGTCATTGGTCGGGTAGCTCGGGGCCTTCTTCTTCTTTTGGAGGGTCGTGGTGTGGGAGAAGGGGCGCGCGGTCGGGACGCTTGATGCTGCGATCAGGCGAGTTGCCAGTGGTGTCTGCTGGCTGTAAAATTGGTCAATCGGTGTTTGTTGTGGTTGAGAGTGAGAGTGAGGGTGAAAATGAGAGTGAGTGTTTTACCTTCGTGAAGCTTGTCTGAGGCCATTGGCACTCCGTAGAAGCGAATTGGAGGCTCTGAGAACTCGCATTTTGTTGACAATTGGTTTTTTGGTAAATGCTCTTGCTACTGGGTGCTCCGTTTGCAGCTACAACATCTGATGTGACGTACAGAGGTGAGTCGGCAAACTCGGCCACTCATCCCTGCAAACAGGGGTATATAGACGATGTTTTGACTCATTTTATCATCAAATAACGACGGTCGATTGGCCCAGTGGTCAAGGCATTTGCTTTACAGCATTCTAGAGTTAATTCTAGATGCATTGGAATCGCAAAGGATCGCAGGTTCGATCCCTGCATCGATCAACGTCTCACTCATTCTTTTGGTGTTTTGGCGACACTTGTGAGAACCAGCACAAATACCCGCCCTCTGATGCGCTAAGACGCTTGCTCTTTCCATAACATACATTCAGCACCTCTCAGCATTCATAGGACACTCAGAACACTTATCATTAAGTCATTAATGCAGGCTGACCAAACTCACAAGGTTGAGGATCACATTTCCCTGTAATTGCATCTACCCTTATACAGTGATGCTATTTTTGGCGCGGGGTGCACCCGTTTAAGCGCATCTCTGCAGCTTCCGCCAGTTGCGCCTTCTCACAAGCACGCGACGTCAGTGACAAGGCTAATCTTTCACCCACTCACCCAACACCCTCATCGTCAACAATGGAGATTGAGGTCGACGAGGACCTCTTGCGAACGGTCGCCTCGGGCGGCCAGATGGACTAGTGAGCCAACGATTCCATCACACTCTCAACCACTTCCCAAGTCTGATAACTAACCTGTGCTCGTGCAGCGGTCTATGGCCAGCTCTGTCGCAAGGAATTATCACGAGGCTAGACAAGGTATGCCCCGACCGGCGCCTCCCCCTCTCCCTCCCCCGTCACCCCCAGCTCAGACTGTCCGATTCTTTGGCCTCCCACAGGGCGCGCTCACATATTCGCTTTGCGAATGTTTCTAGATCGCCCACCATGAATTTCCTATTCCGAACCTGCCACCCCCTCGTCAACACATTAACCCGTCAGGCCAACAACATCCACCGCTGCTCTCTTCGATCATAGTTGAACCCCCCAGCAGCGTGCCCTCGTCTCAGGATGCGGACAAGGAGAACAACCAGCCGGACGCCCCGACTTCCACTGCCGACAGCGATGCGACCGCCACAGCAGCGCCAGCGCCAGCGCCAGAGCCAGAAGCTCCTGCTTCGGGCTCCCTCCCGGCCCAGATCGAGGCGATGCTGATCGAGATCAACTCGGTCCTTTCGACGTTCCCAAAGTACCCGCCGCACACCATTCAGCGTCTGGCCGAGCTCGTTCTCGAGCCGCGCCGCCACTACCGCCACCTGGCATCGTACCTCCACGCAGTCGACCGCGTCGTCCACGTCACCAGCGGCGCAAACGTTTACCCTCTCCCTCCCGCGGTGCCCGACATATCCGCCATGACGCTGCTTTCCAACGGCACCGTGAGCGCAAACGGCAGCTCGCCTCAAGACCCAGCCGCCGCCGTCTCCTGGGGCAACTCGACGAACTCGGTCGCCTCGACCGTCGGCACGGACGAGGCTCTCGGCGGTGCCTTACTAACCCCTATTCCCTGGCTCACGCGCCGCCCTTCCCCCGGCTCCTCCTCGCCGGCCTCGTCCAATGGCGGGGGCCCGGCCGAGATCCGCACCGAATCGACAGAGACAATCGACGGCCCCAACGGCGTCGGTAGTATCGAAACCGTCAGCGTAAGCGTCAACGGTATACCGTCCATGGGCGCTAGCAATAACGGCACCGCCGCCTCAGGCCGTGGCATAACGCAAGGTGAGTTACTGCGACAGGAGCAGGAGCAGGGCGTCGTTCCAAGAAACCAACTCGCGCGACAAACAGAAGAAGCACAACTGCAGGCCGCCGCCCTTCGCGCCAGCGGCGGGGGTGACGGCGGCGTCAATAGCCCCGAGCAGCAGCAGCAGCAGCAGCAGCAGCAGGCCACCGCCGCTGCTGCGGCTGAAGAAGATAACGAGACCCCGCACGCTCGCGGACCTGAAGAGATTGGCGTCGACGATCTCGGCCCACAGAGCGTCACGACGAGCTACGTCGGCGGACCGGGCATGGAGATGCAGGGGATTGACGTCGAGGCTGCCGTGGGCCGCAAGGCCGAGCCTCGCGCCACCCCGCCGCCCGAGGACGCCCAGACGGAGGATGCTCCCGCGGCGACAGAGGACGCGGACGACGCTACGTCAGAGGCCAGCACCACGTCGCATCCCAAGCGGGACGCCAACGAGGAGCTGGAGGGTGTCGTGAGCAAAAAGATCAAGGAGGGCGAAGGTGATGTCGCCACGGCGGGCGAAGATGTCAAGCCCGAGAGCGGAAAAGGAGAAGAGGCCAAGGAAGAAGGCGGCAATGAGAAGGAAGAAGCCACCGAGTCTGTGGAGGCTGATGGCGAGAAAGAAGAAGTGAAGGATTCTGACGGAGCCAAGGAGGAAGCTACAGATGCGGCAGCACTGGAAGAAAAGTCCAAGACCGAGGCTACGGAGGCGAGTAGCTAGGATTTGAAAGACACAGGCTCCTTGCATTCATGGAAAGGGGAAGAAATAATAAACACAAAACAGAATCCAGGGGGAAAAGGGGGGGGAGGAGAAGTCGCGTATTCTTTAGGGGGAAGGGGGAGCTAGAGATATGATACCATGAACCGCTTTCATCGAACCCCATGCTCGCGTTTTTTTTTTTTTTTTTCGTCGTCCAAGTTTTCCAAAGCGTTATGGAGGATGACTTAGGGTTTACGGCATTGCATGAGGAATTATAATGAACGAAGGCTCGGATCGTCACGCATGAGTTGGTATTCTTCCACGATTCACTTCAAGTGTGCTTTGACATCTATTGACAATGCTTTGCATTTTATGCGAGCCGTTATACGTCCCATTTACCGAGGGGAGCTTGATCATTACAGCTCCAGGGTAAGTGAAGCAGCTCAAAGTTTAAAGGGGAAAAAATACATCCAGGACGCCTTGCTTTTATAATCCGCCCAAAGCCCAGATGCCCATTCCCGTTTCCGTAAACGCCAAATACATCACGCACAAGCGCCTCACAAAACTCTCGTGATGCTCTCCTTCGTAATGACACTATTCTGCTTATCATCTCTCCTAACCCGGAAGAAACTGTCGCAAAAGTCGCTGCACCGCATGTGTCGCAGGAACTCCTCGTCGTGCGTGATAACAATCAGCTGGAAATTGCTCTGCGCTTGGCGAGCCTTGATGATGGCGTGCAGGCTTTCGGCCAGGCTCTTGATGTTGTCCTTGTCGAGGTTGGTCGTCGGCTCATCGAGGGCGATGAGGCCGCAGTTGACACCGAAACTCTCGGCGAGGGCCAAGCGGATGATGATACTGGCCAGCACCTTCTGACCCGCGGAGCAGCGGCCGCGCATGTCCATTTCGGTGTCCTGCTTGACCATGCAGACGCGGTAGTTGTACGAGCGGCGGCCCGTGGTCGCGTTCTCGTTGTCGGAGCGGATGAGAATGGTGTCGATATCGGTACCCTGGTAGGTGCTCTGCCACAACTCGCCAGCGATGCGGTTCACCTCTTCCATCTTCAGGCTGTGATACTGCATGATGGCCTTGTCCAGAGCAGCGCTGTACCGGCCCAAGTCCTCGATCGCAGCCTTGGTAGTCTCGACTTTGATGTGCGACTCGCGGTATTTCTTGGCCGCATTTTTGTATTCCTGTTCCCACTCCGCTATGAGCCGGCCCAGTTCCTCATCTTTAGTCTTCATCTGGCCCATGATGGAGCCGCGGTCGGCAACGAGCCTGTTGTGGCGGTTTTCTAATTGCTTTGCCTCCGCAATCAGAGTCTTGTAGTCCTCGTCCGCATCACGGGCCTGCAAGTTCTGAATATCCCGTCGGAGGATCTCCAGTTGTTGTAGGTTCTGGCGGTACTTCAGGTTGTTGCTGATGTTCTGCTTCTTTCGGTCACCGTTGTCAATATCGTGCTTCAGCTTGTTGGTCCGCACGGTCAGGTCCGAAATCTCCTTGTCAAGCGCGGTGATGGACTTCTCAAGAGTAGCAATCGCACGCTGGTTTGACGCAAGTTCGGAAGGCCCGCCTCTATCAATATAGTCTTGGATGTCACTCTCGACCATCTTCAGTTCAGTGACGGAATCAGCAACCTTGTCGCGCTCCTCTGCGATGCCCTGCTCCTTGGTACGACCACGCTCCAGAATATCATTTCGGACTGATCTAGCCTCGGCGATCTCGGGCTCAATGCTCTCCAACTCCTCATCCGCCTTGCTGATCAACTCTTTCTGGTGGGCCTGGTCATCCTTCAAGGTCTGAATCTGGTTCTGGAAATCCTTCTTGCGCTCCAGCTGGTTGAGGGCCTTGCTAAGCTTGTTCTTCAGCTCACTCTTTTCCAGCTCGAGCGCGTTGAGCTGGTCTTTCATGCGCTGTCGGTCAGTCGATATTTTCGAGATCTTGCTCTTCAGAGATCTGATCTGCTCGTTACAAGAGGCCTGCAGTTCATGAATCTCATCAGCGCTCCGGCTGGCAGCGCTGGATGACTGCTGAGACATAATCCGGTCCACTTGCGCCTCAGAATCCTTGATATCCTTGACGGCCTGTGTGATGTTGATGACGGTCTTGTTCAGAGACTCAATGTCATTCAGCTTTTCTTCTTCGGCGCTAACAACGGCATCGTGTTCCTCTAGCTGTCTTTCCATAGCCTCGCACTCGGCCTCCAGCGATGAAGACTCCTCCTTAATACCGGGGACTTCTTGCATCAACCGCTGATAAGTTTCGTACTGAGTCTTAACCTTGCGCAGCGAGCCAAGGATGGCGGTTGAGTTGGCAAGATCCTCCTCTGCCTTCTCTTTCTTGTTAGGGTCAAGAAACTTGACCAGCTTGTCTGAAAAGCGGGACTTGGCAACATTCTGCTTGTCATCGAATGAGCGATCGCAAAGTCGACATTTGTTCTTCTCCTGCAACGTCTTTTGACAGCCACGGTAATAGTCGGCCAGCGCATCAAGCAGGCTGATATCAGTAGTGTACGTTTCCACATCCTCTTCGTGCAACTTGACTTCCTCTTCGTAGTCGTCAATGGTGGCTCCGTCTCGAACTGTCTCCAAGGCGCTAACCACAGCATCTCGGCAACGAGCGGCCTCGGCCGTCTTCTTCTGACCTTCTTCTTTGGCGCTCTTAAGTCGGTAATCGACCTTTTGTTGCTTGTCTCTTAATGAGTCTCGCTTCTGACGGGCTTCAGAAAGAACTTTGTTCTGGCGCTTGACAGCGTCGTGGTACTGAGCCTCCAGAGTATCAGTCTGCCATGAGGAGCCAACATGCGTGTCGATTTTGGGCTTCCACGTATTCGTAAGGGTGTCCAGTTTGCGCTTGCGGTCCGACAACTCTTTCTTTCGCAGATCCAACTGTGCCCGTTCTGAGGCCAGTCTTGTGCACTCAATCAGTTCACGTCCCAGCTTCTCATTTTCGCTCTCCAGCTGCCAGAGCTTCTCATTGTCTTGCTGGAGCTGGGTATCGAAGTCGGCGCTTGTCAAAGCCTCGTTTGCTTTTTGCAGTCGACTTTCCACGTCCTCGAATTGGCTGTCCAAGATGGCTTTGGCACCTTCATCAATGTCTAGGCGATTGATGTCCATTTGCAAGACATTGACACGCTTCTCGATCGCGCTCAACCGCTGCTTGGCGAACACACGGTTTTGTGTCATGGTGGCCTTGCGGCCTTCAAGCTCGGTAATGACGCTTGCTGCTTGGTCGAGCTCTCGAGCATTCTCTTTTTGCACCCGCTCCAAGTCGCGCTTCTTGTCAGCCAAAAGTTTTTGTATTCGCTCGTTGAACGTCCTGATTTGGCTGTCTTTCAGGTCGCCATCATAGCCTCGGAAGCCGTGCGATTCTGCCGCCTTCCGAACCAACTCCATGCGGGTCTGAAGCTGTCGCTCATACTTGTCCTTGTCAGACTCGTGACGGCCTTGCTCAGCTAGCTTGGTAGAGAGCTCCTTGCGAGATTGGGCCATGCTCTGTTGCAGCTCTGAGTACTGGGCTTTGTTCTGGTCTGCTTCTTCCTGGTATCGGGACATGCGCTCCTCGTATTGGGCAAGCGAGTTTTCGAGATACTCGTCATCTTCAGAGAGCTCCTCAAGAGTCATCTTAAGGTCAGCAATGGCACCCTCACGGTACTTGAGCTGGTCCTTTTTGAATGTGAGATCATTGACGATGCTCAGATAACTATTGGCCTGTTCATGTTTTTCACGGATTTGCTCCTGGAGTTCTTCCATTTCAGCCGACAGCGCATTGCACTTTTCCCTCGCCTGCTCGATTTCAGCCTCCAGCGCTACGGAGCGCTTTTCGGCCCGATCGCCCTTCTCCTTGTTGATTCTATCCTGCTCCTCAAAGATTTTGAGCTTCGACAGCTCCTCGCCCTGCTTCTTTCTGAGAAGCTTCAGGTTATCGATGGCCTTTGTGTATCGCATCGCCTCGAAAATCTGGTCGAACTGCTTCTTCAATGCAGCTGGCTCGCTCATGGGCCAGAGGGACTCATCTTGGTGACAGAAGATGACATAATCGAGAATGGCTCTGGATACACCAAGTTCCCTCGGAATCCATTCATCCATTTGAGCGACCCTGGAGGAGGTGACGGTACGTTCGCCATTATTGTTGCAGGCCAGAGAACCCTCGAGGGTCTTGAGCGATCGGGCGGTTTTCTTGACGGTCAGCTGAAGGCTCCGCGTGGCGACAAACTTAAGGCCACCAGTCGAGGTGAAGGCCAGTTTGACCTGAGCCAAAACTTCCTTCTCTCCGCATAACTATGAGATTTGAATTAGCGAAGGTTTCCATGGCGTCTTCTGAGTACCATTTACATGCCTTGGGGTCATGAACGAAAGCTCCCCCTTTACTGTTTGGGGGCTGTTCGCCGGTGGTGGCATACTTTAGACACTCAATGATGGTAGTCTTTCCCGAGCCATTGTATCCGACGATGAGGGTCAAGGGCGTGTAGAAGGAGATGGTTTCGCGACTGCCGCCAAAGGAGCGGATGCCCTGGACGGACAGCTTATCGATCTTGGACATGGCTGGGGGGTGTGCCTCAGAAGGCCATGCGCCATGCAAGTGAAGAAATTCGACCTTGTGATGGGTACAATGAAGGCACACAAAGGTGAAGTTCAAATCAAGATCAAAGTGGGGGGTGGAGGCTCTATTTTGTGCTTGAGGTGGTGATTGCTGCCTGCCTTGAGACGGGCAACCAGTGCGGGCTGGAACGCGCAGGAAAGCACCGACACGCGACGGCGAGGAGGTGCGAGAAAGCGTGACCTCGCGCGCTCATCGATAAGATAATGGGATTGTGAGATAAGATAAGAGATGTATAATGCAATGGCATGCAGATGCAGGGTCTAGCTGGTCAGTTTCGCTCGGCCGAAGTTTTGGCGCAAAGCAGGTCCCCTAAGCCGGACCACGACCCCTGGGGTTTGGAATCGGAATGGAACCCAAGAGTTCACAGCTGATCACGGGCACAAAAAAAAAAAAAAAAAAGACACTAAATCGGGCGGACCTGTTTTAAAGGTTCCTACTAGTAAGCGGATGGATTCAACTACGTCATTGATGCAGCCCATGCTTGCTCTGATCTATTTCTTTGGGTCTTACGCAAGAAGCCAGTAGCAGGTATACATACACGTATACGACGGATGGATATGCCTTTAGTATTGCAACTTCTTTTGCTTTAATTTTTATTCATTTATCACTCATCTGTTTTACTTTACGGTTTTCCCTCAGAACCAAGGTACACAGGCGAGGCAGAAGATGTGTTGCTCTGGGTGAGTTTGAAAGTTTAGACCATTCTGCAACCCAAAACGAGGTTGTCTCTGCCGCCTTACCATTAAAAGTTTCCATATGGCTAGTTCAGGAACAGCAGACAATGGCGTGTCAGTATACGGCTACATGAACAAAGTGAATAAGCAACGGCAATGACGGAATGTTGGTGTTCTACAGCAAGCCGAAAAGGCCCAGTACGACAGATGATAGGATGTGAAGTTTTGTGAATCTACGACATAGGATATCCATATAGCATGGCCATGCTCGTATCCGTCGCTTGAAAACCATGCGGGCATCAACGGGAAGTAATGGTCATGGACATGCGTGGTCAAACTCTCCATACTTGGCTCCAGTAATGGAGAAATTGGGCTTCTCTTCTCAGGCACTCCGGACTTTGCCCAGCTGCCCAGCTCCGCGCCGCAGCGGACACGCTGAAGGAACATGAAGGGTGCAGGGAAAGGACTGCAGAAGGGTGGGGACTGAGACGCCGTAAGAGTGAGAGCTCCACAGTACCCTGAAAAACAAACAATTTAGCAGCCTGCCGTCCCCACTTGTGGCCCCATACGCTGTTTTGACAGACCCAAACGCAGCCCCCGCAGCAGTCAAAGGTCTACAGTGCCCGGGGCATTTGCTCCGGGAGGAGGCATCCCAGTAACAGAGTCGCAACGATCATCGCTGTACAACGCCCCTGGACAAGCAGCTCTGGAACCCATTGCGATGGACAGTTGGACCGTGTGCAGCCTTGAGGACGGCCATGGAGGGAGGCATGACGTGCCCGCTGTAAGGGAGGGTAGAAGGCGTTGGGCGGTCAATTGATGCTCTGCAGCAGCCCAATCCCCAGGGGACCGCACAGGGGCTTCGCAGCCTATTACTATTCGCTATGGTGGTACAGCAAGGTGTACAAACAGTGGTACCTGACTGCTACGGAGGGAAGGAGGGGTCCAGGAGTAGGGGAATTCCCATGTCCTGGGGACGCAAAATTGCCATGTGCTCCATTTCCATTTTGCAGTTTCCCATCTTTTTTTGTCAAGTCCCCTTGACTTTGGCCTCCCTCTTCCTTTCCATTTCTGACCACTACCAACTACAGGGTGCCACTACGGATATCATCGCCTTGTTTTCTTTTTCTTTCCTTTTTTTTTTTTTTTTTTTACCCTCTCTCTCTCTCCCGCTGGCCACGACGTTACTTACCTTTTGCCTTGCGCCCCGATATGCCCCTCTACCTGTCCCCCCCTCGTCCCTCATCTTTCTTTCCCCCCTCCTCGATCTATCTGTCTCCCTTTCATTCCAGGTCCCCTTCATCTTCTTGTTCGCTATCCTTGCCTCTCTCGCATCGATCCAATCTTTCGACTTGGCTGGGTAAACTCGAGGCGATCTAAATACCCCCTGCCGACCTCGTCTTCCTCTCCCGCCACGCAATAGCCGGATAAAACGAGACTTGACAGAGACAACCTAAGCTCTCCCGCATCGTTGAACTCGGCAAAAGCCTCGACACGACTCGGCGCGACAGCCTGATGCGCTTTCTACCGCTGCTGTCTTTAAACTGTTATCACTGCCGCTGCCGCTGCCCCGCGCTATTACTTTCCAAGACTCGCACCGCTCCGCACCACACCTGAGGCAGGCCGAGCTGGACTGAAGTTTCTGCTACTGGACATCTAACCCACCCTTTATTAATGACTAGAAGCCCCCCTCCTCTCGGGATCTCTTTCTCAATACACTACTCGATCAAACCTTGGCGTCGACGTTGTCGTCAGTTCTCGTCAATCACTGTGCCGCACCGACTACGCATACTGCCCTCGTTCCCCTGCAGTTTAATTATTCCTTTTTGTTTCCATCACAGCGAATAGAACTTCCTGGCCAGGAAAAAAAAGACATGAATGGTTAAGGAGTGCATTAGTCGACGCACAACAGCCCCATATTCCGTTCCCTACTTTTTTTTTTTCCAATTTTCACATTTGATTCTAGACGTCCGGAGTCAAAGGCCTGTTCCCGGAGACTGTGCTTTTTCGCCCTCCGACACACCCCCGACCACCACCGCCAACAGCCAGCAGCACTGCCGCACCCTCTGCCGGTGCCCTCCGCAACTAAGTGGTTGCTGCTGTCGCTGTCCTTGTGGCTCTACTGCTACTACTCTGGCGGTTGCTTTCACCCTGCAGCACCAGCACCACCAGCACCAGCGCTCCCAAAACGTCTAAACCTTGCCGCCGTTTGAATTGGTTTGCAAACAGCCCAAACGTGGTTTTGGATTTTCAGTGCCGTACCGTGACTAGCTGGGGCACTTCGACCCCTCGGAGCCCCATATCAGTCGCTACGCAAATCGCCAAATGCCTTTGTTAGAAGGCCATCTGTGCTAGTATCTGCATCGGAACAATACCTCCCACAACCATGTCTCACGGACCACCTCAACCTCCACTAGCCAATATGTTTGGCTTGGGGCCCCAGGACGCTTTCTCTGCCTTTGATGCTGTTCGTCCCACCCGCTCTCCCTGTTGTCTGATGCCTCTCACTTTGCTATCCTAATCCACCTTCGCCTTTCCTCTTTTCGTTCCTCTTCACGACCCGCCCGCCCCAGGCGCATCCTCTCAACCCCGTTCAAACCATTGCTTACCGCTCCCACTAAGCCGCGCTGACGCAATGCAGATGGCCGAAGCCGACCCCAACATCATGTCGTCCCTTTTGGACCCTACAGTGTACGGGAGCTTTGACGCCATGTCCATGAACATCGACAACCCCGCCGACGATAACGCTTTATCCGCCTTCAACTTCAGCAACACCCCCGTACCCGACGGCCTTATCGACGACAACAATTCCATGAACAATAGCTATTCAAACAATGGCGACGAATCTACAGGCGTCGCTGGTGCGGGGCCTCCGCCTGTTGGTGGTATTTCCTCGCAGGCTCTGCAGCAAGCCGGGAGCACCCTTACCGAGTTCACAAAGAGGCGGAATTGGCCCGCCAAGGTCGTCGAAGAGCTCAAGGACTTTCTCCAAATACTCGACGCCAACGGTCGCATACGCTATGTGTCGCCCAACATCTTAACCCTGACCGGGTACTCGGCCGAAGAGATCATCGACACTTTTCTCAAGGATCTCGTCCACCCAGACGATGTTGGTGTTTTCGTCGCCGAACTTAACGAATCCATTGCCTCCGGCAATCCCTTGCGCTTATTCTTTAGGTTCAAGAAGAAAGACGGGAAATACACCATCTTTGAGTCAGTCGGCCATGCCCACATCGCCGCCGCCAAGTTTGCGCCGAACCCGCACAACCAGTCTCCCTTCTGTCAGGCCGTGTTCATGATGTCGCGCCCCTACCCTACAAAAAATGCAGGGCTTCTAGACTCATTCCTGGAACACAAAATGGAGAACGAGCGATTGAGGAGGCGCATCGCCGAGCTTCGCAGGGAGGAGGAAATGGAAAATGAAGAGTCGCAGAAGCAGTGGCAACAAAGCCAGGAGGGCAGGTCAGATGTAACGCCATCGGAAACCACAATGACAACCTCCGTGGCGAGCGCATCTCGCGCCGCTGACAGCTCGAATGACAAGACGTCCGCTCTGAATGTCGCACTCACCCAAGAGGCTCTGGAAGGTGTAGCAGGAAGCCGTCCGGACTCGCTGAAAGAAAAAATGGCCCGGTATGAGGGCGCTTCGCACACAGACACTATCGAAATGTTGACCGGTTTGAGATATATCGAGGGAGAAAGAAGTCGCGGCATCACGACAGGGAACGCAAGCCCAACCCTCATCAAAGGCGACGCCGGAATCGCTATCCCCCTTGACAGGGATCCTCGAACAGGCGACAAGAAGAAGAAGCTCAAGACTTCAGAAGAATACGTCTGCACTGACTGTGGTAAGTTTCAACTGCACCTGCAGCGGTTTATCGGTGAGTTGAGCTCTGATGGGTCTCTCCAGGTACTCTCGATTCACCGGAATGGCGCAAAGGCCCAAGTGGTCCCAAGACGCTGTGTAACGCTTGTGGTCTCAGATGGGCCAAGAAGGAGAAGAAGAACCGGCACGGAAATAATGCATCTGGCTCGCTGGCAGTTGAACGTTCAACAGTTCAGAGCTGAGGCTAGGTAATGGGTCAATACTTGGCGTATCTGTCGATTTGTGGTCCCCCAGAGAGGGGCGGTGGTGGTTGTTACCGTCCACCGGCGTTGGCGTCTAGAAGAAGGCACGGTGCAGGCTATGACTTTGACGAACATACGGCCGTCCATTTTGTTTTCAGCTTGTTCCAATTTTTTTTTTTTTTTTTTTTTTTTTGCAGCAACCGAGATACCTGAACACGACACTGGATCATGGGACAAGGAGCACGAGATTTCGGCAAGGCAGTTTCAAGAGCGAAATTTAAGCCACATTGTTTTCAAGCGGCAGTCGCCCAACGAGCCAGATGCTGCAAGCATCGAGACAACCATTTTCCACCTCGGCGTGTTCTTGCAGATATGTCTTCTCTTAGGGCAGGACGACTAGCGGTCAGCTAAAAACCCTGGCCATCAGTGTGTGGGCTGCAGAAAGAGGTGATGTCCTAATGGGAACGCTCCTGGAAGAGGGGCTCCCGTAGATGGCTTTCAGTTGGCGACAGCCATGCCCACTCCCAAGAAGAGGCATGGGTCTAAGTGGGAAGCCGCATCTACAGAGCATGACTACTATCCCACGTCAAGCCACGCGAGACTCGACCATTACAGTCGAACTGTCTTGCGCTTTGTTCATAGATGTTGACTCCCGAAAGTCGTTAGTTTGCTGAAACATCTCGTTTGCGCCCTGAAGACCTGAAATACAGCTGAGCATGCTCTGATCTTGCATCCATGACAAATCAGGCCATCCCAGTACGGGAGCCATGATTGGACGGGCTGGCCAGCAATCATGGATGCGAGCATGATGGTTCATTCATGAATGGAGCGGGGGGGTGAGCCCGGGGACTTTAGTGGCATCTCAGCCGTGGAGGGGTCAAGACACACGCAGTACTGGCCATTCGTGAATATGAGGGCTGTGAGCGCATTCTTTACGCCTGTACAGCTGCGTCGCCCAACTCCCATGTACTTTACAGGGTAGGCTAGCCAAATGGCAGCTACAGAAAGGGGTCTGCTGCTCCGCTCACATTTAGCTGACGGGATGTGGCAGTGACAGGCAGTGCGCGGCCATTGGTTCATTTCGATATTTATTCCCGTTGCGGTTGTTTTTTGCGCGCCCACCCAGCTGTAAGGAAGGGGTCCGTTGCTTAAGACAACCGATCGCCCGCTGCTGCTGCGGAGACGCGGTTCTCGTTCCAACTACAAGGACCTGCAGCTCAGGACACGTAAATGCCTCTCTTTCTGCCCCCTCCTGACGAGTAATTCTATCTTTTATCATCATCAGGGGAAAAGGAAAAAAAAAGAAGAGCAAAGTTCGATCAACCATCACAATGGACAAGTTCATCAACGCCGCGTCACAGAAGGCGCAAGAGTACCTGAGCAAGGACGACGACGACAGGAGACCCCAGCAGCAGCAACAGGGCCACGGTACGTTCAGCAGTTATCGCTACCGACTGCCCAACTAGCTCCCCCCTTACCTTACCTACCCCGCCATTACTTGTGTCTGGTCTAGTGTATGACTAGCTCCCCTAAACTACCCCGCGGCCCCTCTCATTGAGAAAGCTTGTTACTGACGAAAGGACGCCATCACTACTGAGTAGGCCAACCTCTCCCTGGAGGCGATAGTAAGTTTTGATCAATTCTTTTTTTTTTTTTTTGCTTTTTTTTTTTGGGGGATGCTTTATTTTGATCTGTGTCATGGTCCCTCGTCTGAACTGTCTTCTTGGAGGGGAAAGAGACAAAAAAAAACTTTGATTGTCGTGTTCCTAGTTTGCTGACGCCCAGTACTTGCAGAGTCTCACGGAGGCAACTACCCTGCTGGCGGCGGCTTTTTCCCCGATGATGACGATGACGACTACCGTCAGGCCGCCAACGAGGCCTCTCGCCGCGCCGGATCGAGCGGCGACTCGGACTTGTTTTCGTCTGTTCTCGGAACGTTGACGCAGAAGAAGACGCAGCTTCAGAACGAGGACATTGATGAGGATGGTGAGTGATCCCCTACCATTCTATACCTGGCGAAACGGAGAGTGAAGACCAACACTCCCGGGGGCGGATCAGATGCCGTGAAGAAGCACAAGAAGTTTTTCGGAGATGACGACGACGACGAAAAGGCGGACGACAAGGGTCTCGGCGCCGCTGCCGCCATGCAGGCCCTCAAGATGTTCTCGAGCGGCGACACGGGCGGACAGAAGCAGAGCCAGGGCGGTTTCATGGGTCTCGCCATGGCCGAGGCCAGCAGGGTAAGTTGGAGTTTCCCCGGAGCCTCTTCCTGTACGAAGACGAAAATGCCTGACGTTTGTTTCTGTTAGCTTTTTGATCAGCGTCAGTCCCAGGGCAAGGTTGCCGAGGGCACCAGCAAGGAGTCTGCCATCCAGCAGGCCGGCGAGATGGCGCTCAAGATGTACTTTAAGAGCCAGGGTCAGCAGCAGGGCGGGTTCATGGGCCTCGCGTCCAAGTTCCTCAAATAGGCTCACGGACGATGACAAGAATGACTTTTGAAACGTCGGAGACACATTTATGTCACTTTAAGAGAGAAGCAGCTTGTTGGTCTTGCTTGTCGTTTATGCGTTACGGTACAGTCCGGTTGACATTCAGATACTTGAGTTTTATTCAATTGCCAAATTGTAAAAGACGTGCATTTAAACCCGTATTCTCTCCCTCGTGTCTCGTTTCCTTGGCTGTAGATGAGAAAAAAAGAAGAAAAAAAAAGAAGAAGAAGCGAATCACGTGTGTCTTGCTTAAACGTTCTTCTTGGCCTCCAGACCGCCGCCGTTCTTGGTGAGCTCAATCACATCCACCCACCCCTCGGGTCTCCGTCTCCCTTCCTTGTGAAGGTACGTCTCGGCCTCGCGCGCCCAGCCGAGGATCTGCTCCTCGCACCCCCACTCGCCCATTGCCATGAGACCGACGGGGATCTTGCCCTCGCCCTGGACGGGGTCGGCGTACCCGACGGGCGCCGTCACGGCGGGACAGCCGCTGACGTTGGCGAGGTAGACGTAGCCCATGTTGGCGATGGTGGTGTTGGTGTCGGAGACGCCGTAGGCCTCGTCGCCCGGGTGTCGCGGCCATCCGGCCAGCGGCGTCGTCGGCGTGACCAGCAGCATGCCCGGGTTCTCCTCGAACAGGTGCGCGAGGTGCTTCATCAGCATGTCGCGGATCTGGGCGTAGCGCATGTAGTCGCCCGCCGGCGTCTGCGTGCCGACGCACATTGTGATCCTGTTGGCGTCGTTGATGAGGGACTGCCACCTGGCCGGGTCCGGGTGGCGGTGGCGCGCGAGCTCCTGCATCTCCGTCACGCAGGTGACGGAGTGCATGAGCTGGATCTCGCGGAGGTAGGGGATGCGCACGTCGATGACCCTGTACCCTTGCGACTTGAAGTGGTCGACTGCGCGCCGGCAGATGGCCTCGACGGGAGCCGAGGCGCGGGACCACCAGGCCTCGTCGATGGCGATGGTCCTGGGCGCCGAGGGGGACGGCGGCACGGACGGCGTGTAGAGGCCCTGGATCGGGTCTTGCGGGTTCGGGCGCGACATGAGGCGGTAGGCGATGGTCAGGTCCGCCACCGTGGCGGCGAGTGGTCCCACGACGCACATGGACGAGTTCATGGCGCACGTGCGGTGGTGAGAGGGCTTGAGGCCGTAGACGCCGTTGAAGGAGCTCGGGATGCGGACGGACCCGCCGGCGTCGGTGCCGATCGAGATGGGCACGATACCGGCGCCAAGCGCCGACCCGCCTCCGGAGGAGGAGCCGCCCGGGTAATATGACTTGTTGTGCCAGTTTGTGGGTGTACCCCAGCGGGGCTGTGAAAGTTAGCATTGGAGGCCCCCGAGGGGAGGGAGTTTCTGGGTTCAGAGAAAAAGGAGATGGGGTTCTTACGTTACAGCCGTTTGTGTCTGGGAGCTAATTAGTGTCTGGTCTGGTCTGGTCTGGTCTGGTTTGTATATGAAGCGGGATGAGAGACTTACCACCACCCAGCTCGTGCATGGCGTTCTTACCGACGATAATGGCGCCGGCCGCTTCAAGCTGCTTTACAGGCCACCACGTATCCTCGGCAGGCTTGAACCAGGGTAGGTCGGGACGATACTGCATGCCGTTGTGGCTCACGTAACCCTTGACGTCGATGTCGTCCTTGACGCCGATGGGAACACCATCAAGGGGACCCAAAGGCTCGCCGCGACGCCAACGCTCCGTGGAAGCGCGGGCGGCGTCGAGGGCGAGGTCCTCGCGGCCGTGGGATGCCACCCAGGCGTTGGCGTAGGGGCCGGTTTCCGGTGGGGGATGGCCCTCGGCACGGCGGATCACGGGGAGCAGCGCCTGGACGATATCAAGCGGCGTGAGGGCGCCAGTGCGGTAGAGGGCGTGATAGTCCGCGCTGGACAGGTAGCGGGCCGGCTGGTCCAGCGGAGCAGGTTCCGTGAGATCCGCGGAAAAGGGAAGCGGTTCCGGATGGGTCCCCGTCTCTGAGAGGACGATGACATCGGGCTAAGAGACTCATATCAGTAGCTGCGAGTGAGAGTGAAGAAGTTGTTGAGACGGACATGATAGCGGCACCTGTAGTCGTCAAGACCCGGCAGGTCCCTGAGTGAGCCGAACTTGGCGTTGCGCCAGAAAAAGCGCTGGACAGCGCCGGAGTTTCCAAGGCTGAGGTTGAGAGTGAGTAATTGGCTAGTGGAGATAGATGTGTATCAAGTGAGATGGACTTACATTGTTGCGCCGGCGACTAGAGGCCAGCCACGGAGGACGGGATTTTCATCCTCCTTCTGTGTCGCTGTGTTGGCCTGGGTCGGTCCTTCTTGAGCGCCGGGGTAGTTGGCGTATTTACGGTTCGGAGCCATGATGCTGTTTGTAAAGCCGCAAGGCCCGAGATGATGTGTGTATCTCAATGGACAAGCACGGGGGCCAGAGGAAGCTATCGGGGCGAATCAGCTAGCTGCGGAAGACTACGATCAGAGAGGAATTAGGATTCGAAAAGAGCACAAAGCAAGACAAGACTAGATGGAAGACTCCAAGCTCCAGGTAAAGGGGCACCAGATGTCGTCGTGGGAAAAGACGCTTGGGGACCCTCGAGGTTCAGACTTAGGAGCTTAGAGTTTCGTTACAATGGAAGGTTGAGCTTCCCTTTCCCCCCTGGGCCTTGCTAGCGGAAACATACACACAGACATACCTTGGGTAGCAGTGGGATTTATGAGATGTATAGGGGTGGTAAGATAGATTGAAACAGACACGGGGAAAAGAGGAGCAGCGCCAATGTCCGGTTCGGTAGCTTATCTCACCTTGTATCTTGAAGGCCCCGTTGTTGGGTGCAGACTGAGGTTTGTGGTCCGTCACATCCATTCCACGCGTCCCATCCACCCACGCATCCGGAACCCGCGAAAGAGCTCGGATCGGCAGCACTTTGGAGGAAGCTCTGATGGGTCTTTACCCAGGTGGAAAGCCCCATATTTTCCGCTGGTGCAATGCCACTCGCGTACGGGTTCCGGTGACAAAAATGCAGGGATGGGTAGGTGTTTTGTTTTGTCATGGTGTAGGAAACTCGCTACCTCGGCATCTCTCAGTCTTAGTATGCACACACGCACATCTGCCATGTACTAGTATTCGACTTGCCACAAGAGGAAAATACTCTCGGTTTGGCACCTACACGTAAGAATCTCTCACCTATACTTTTGTACATCAGCCAAGCTTATGCAGGGGGGGGTTTGCTCTTTTTTGACATGATCCTGCTGCATGTGCCGTTTCCATGCTGACCAGATTTTCAAGTTTATACTAGTTAGTATTCGTTGTCGAAGGAGGGAGCATTGACCTGAGGTCGAGCACAAGCTCTTTCTGGTTCTTTTTTTTTTTTTTTTTCTCTTTCTCGGACATTCCAGCACCTGTGAAGAGGCACAGGCCACCACCAGCGGTCTGATGTCTGTCAGTTCTTACTGCTATGTATGTACCTATGCCACCTAGCGTACTACACCGTGCGTAGCTAAGCTTGCTACAATATAAGTAGGGACTACGTATGTACAGAAGGTCAAGCGTTATCGATAAGACTCAAAAACCAAAGGTCCCCCCACCCCACGTGCCTGCGTCTGACCGATTTCATTAAGCCGATCTCCCGTCGGTCGGACCTGCAAAAGTCTGGGACACCTCACGCGACCTGAAGAATATCGACGCTATCGAAGGCCACCAGGTCTGGCACCTCCACCATTCCCCAGTTTCATATGGGGGTTATAACTCCAGCATTATTCGCAAGGGGACGTATGTATCATACTTATCGCAAAAATTTTAATTTATTTAATTCATCTGTCCTTGGCCCAAAAAAAAAAATTACCTCAGCATTGAGTGACATGTAATCAACGTCACCAACTTCGCATCGATTGTCAAGAAACAGTCATGATGCTCCCCCAGAACGCGCCGTCATTGCCGTTTCTTCAACGCTCCAATTCAGGGTTCCCCCATGATCATACATTCCCACGATAGCCCGGCTCGTTCGCGCTAGAGGCGTCAACCGTTTGTTGTGACACATTGCCCCGCTATCCCACTACGGCAAAGCCTAGGGAGCTAACACGCTCCGTCCAAGAATGCTTCGAGAAAGAGCCTCCCTCGACTAAAGCAGTAAGTAAAGTAGCCTTGCCTACACTATGTTTATGGCATGGACTCAACGCTCTCTCTTCATCGCAACCGAGGCTACAAGGATGGCTTCCCCCAAACTAGAGTCAAAAACGTACATCACGTGAAAATGTTGCAACAACTTGAGAGTGACGTGAAGGAGCCAATCGAGAGGCTCTATACTTCTACATACGGCCGCGCTATCCCGTGGGAAGCAGCTATTCCAGGCCAGACATGCCTATCTCGCTCGCTTAAACCGAACGCCATTCCAAAGCAGAGGTCCCTCCTAAAAGCCCGTGGGCGAGGTCTCTTCCAAAGTTTGTCCAAGCCGTGTCCGACGGCACCAAAGCGAGTGTTTTCCCTCCCCTGTTTTCCCAAGGGGGGGTTTGTTGTGTCATACCAGAGAAAAAAAAAAAAAAAAAAAGGAAATCAAGACCCAAAACGCCATGCCAATCCTGTTAAAAGAAAACAACGAAAGAAAATAGAACCTTTTTCTTTTTTTGTGCTCATCTGCCCGTGTCGAGACTTCGTGTGAATGCCGTTCATAATCATGGGATGAGAGCGTGAAATAATGATAAAAATTGCCCAGGTGCTGTGAAAGACCATTTGGCAACGTCAATGTCGTAAAAGAGGCATTGCGCGTGAGGGGGGTTAGGAGAGAGCGGATGTAAATGACAGGGTATGTCGACCCGCGTTGTAAGATCGAATCTATCTCATTGATGCTTAAAGCATATGCCTGTGTATCATGCTCCCTTGATAGTCGAAATATGCCGTTTGTCTTTCTCTGCTTTGTTTACTCATTTCCTCCTATCAAGAAAAGAAGAAAAAAGAGTTACTCTGCAAGGTTTTTGACAAGACGGACGAGTACTATCGAAATAGTAGTATTCAGCGCTTCGCCATGTTGTTGAGTCGCAGAATTCTAGTCCGGAACCACAAGACGAAGCTGGTCCAGGCACCCTGTGTCTTGCGCTTGGCAGTTAGGGAGCGACGAGGGCCGTCAATGGTGGCCTCGTCAGCGACAGGCGCCTGGCCTTGGTTGGTGCTCTCGTAGTTACGGCTGGCGAATCCAAGCTCGCCCATGGCCACCTTCTCTGCATCAGGAGCAGTTTTCTTACGGCTGATGGAAGGGCGGATCATTTCACTAGAGCTATTGCGGGCGCTGATGGTGAAGCTTTGCTTGCGCGCAGCATCCTTTGCCTCTCGCTTAGCTTGAGCCTGCTGCTCTTGGTGCAGCATGTGCTGCTCCTTCTCGTAGCGCTGGGCCTCCTTAAAGTTTTCGCGTTCCCGTTTACGCATGTCCTCTCTGGCTTTCTTAGCCTCCTTGGCGCGCTCCTTCTCCTCCCATCGGCGTCTTTCCTCTCGGATACGCTCCTGATGGAAATTGGAGTCAATCTCGGAACGAGAACGAAGACGGAAGCCTTCCAGCGAGGTGCGCAGGGGAGACATGGCGGTAGCTGACGTCGAGGGAGATGTTGTTGACAAGGTCGAGAAGGTGGGTGCCGTACTTGACACTGCTGCAGACTCTGACTTTCTGCCAATGATGTTGATATCTGAGTGGCTTGAGACGTGAACCAGGCGGGATGAAGCCGTGTTGGAGTTTGTGCGGCTGGTGTTGAGACGTAATGAGGGAGGGCCAGTATGAATATCTGATAATGAAGATGTACGACTGGCCAATGAAGGCCGACGGGGATATGAGGTGGGATTGTTGACGATGGTAGTGGAAGAGGGCGTCACGTAGTTGCTGCGGTGGGAGCTGTAATGTTGTTCCAGTAAGTCGTCGTCGTCCTCGGTAATTGTCGGAGAGTAGTCACGAGGGCCACTGTTGTTTCCCTGGTCGAAGCTGGCAAAAGAATTGGCGTACGATAGAGGTGGTGTTGAGGTGCGAGGCGTCTGTTGGAAAGGGTGGACAAAACTGCCGTTTCGGTGGCCACTGCCGCTGGTTGCTATACTGACGTGGGAGGTGCCACTGGTTGATCGGGCGTGGCTGAATTTGCTCCTTCCATTCCCGTTGCCGGTGTTGAGGTCGGTGGCCGAAATGCTGAAGCTGACGTCCCTGCCTCCGAACGATCCTTCCTTCTCTCTTCCAAGGCTACCACCATAGTTGCCAAATGACGTTTGCTCATCCCAACTACGGTCCAGATCCAGTGAATTCTTTTCCGAGTGCGACAGCTTTTTCAGAATCGGCTTGACCACTGTTTTGCTGCGCGACTTTGACAGCTTGCCTGGGGCAGAGCCCGCTGAATCCGTGTACGACGACATCGCGAACGGCTTGTAGGAAGCGCAGACTGCTTTTTTTTTCTTCTTCTTTCCTACACACTCTTCTCTCCAACAGCGGCTACTGGTGTTGAGCCCCTACTATTCCTGTTGCTACCAACCGCTTACTGGTCGCTAGCTGGCTTTGTCGTTGCCCAGCTGTTCTGGTCCAACTGGCGATTGGCGACGGTGGTGGACTGCCAGACCAGAGGAACTCCTCCACCATGCAGGCCGGGAGGCAGACCGCTCCCCCAGTCTCGGAGACGCCTCTCTTACAGCGATAACAAACACCAGTCGAGATGCATAGATCGAGCAAATGGAAGAGCGAAAGCGACGACGAAGGAGGCGGCTGCAGCAGCGACGGGCGACAGCAATGGATCGGTGCCAGGGACGAGTATCTGTGGAGGTGACGGTGAGCACACGACTTAAATCCACAGGGTCCGAGACGCGTCGGTCATATCATTCAACATACGGTGAGGGTTGGACCCAGATGGGAGGGGGGAGCGAGATGAGCGGCGCCGGGGGGTTATCTAATGGGCGAGATGAAGGGTGGGAGCGACAGGCTGACGAAGCGGAATGGGCGGAGTCCTCTTGAGGCGGATGGGATGGGATGGGATGGGACGGGCCAGGATTGGGAATGGATGGATCGATGGAGTGTGGCGGTCGTCTCGGCCTGCCTCACCTTTCGCTTTCAGCAAAGTCAACTTCACTACCCACGAGTGAAGGAGCCAGTGATTGCAAGTCCTGGGTCGGTTCAACCCGAAGGTCCTAGAAGCCAACTGCGTCGGCGTTGACGTCGCTGCTGCTCTGGTTGACCCTGCTGCGAGTTGCAGTATGCCCGGCGACGGACGACAACGACCACAGCGGAGAAACAAAATGAGGGGAGGGAAAACGAGAACGGGGAAACGAGACACAAGACAGACACCCCCCCAAGCAAAGAGCTAGAGCCAGCTGCACAAGGGCCAGCGTCCGCATCGGCAGCAGGCCAGAGACACCGCACCGCAGCGAGCCCAGGCCACCGCCAAAAGTGCGCCGAGTATCCGCAACCCGCTTGGCTACGCCTGATTCAGCCTCATTCCTTTCCCAACTGGCATGGAGCACGTGGGGGAAAACCAAGAAATGCGCCCGGAGGAAGGATCAGAGGCGACCGGTCCAGCAAGCAGCGAGACTTTGACAGAGAAAGGGAAGGGGGGCACCCTTCTAGAGCAGATGCACTGGTGTGGCGTCTTTGGAACCTTTCAGTTTTAAGGTTGCGGGCTCTCAGGACAGGCCCAGAGGATTGTTGTTCCAAGGTTGTTTTCGGCGTGTCTGGGCCAAGGACCGGCCGGTTTGCTGTTGTTTTTTCCCCCTTCCTTTCACTGTCAAAATTCTGTCTGGGTCAGGTTTGTTTACAATGCAATGATGTTTTGTTGATGTTGCGGCTTTTTCCAAGGGTCTCCCCCCGGCAGGCGTCACCTATGATGTGAGAGAAAAGGCGGGTTCGTGGATCTCGGGCGACCGAATGAGAGGCCTCAAGATGCAAAAACTGGAGACTATAGAGAATGAAACTAATGAATAATATCTGGGTCCGGTCCGGGGGTCAACGGGTGGAACAGACGGGGATTTGACGTCGCTGATGGCAATGAAGCAGGGCAAAGCGAAGCCGTGCAAGCGATGGTGGGAAGGCAACGGAAGGCAAGGGAAAAGAAAGGGACCTCTTGGAGTGGAAGAGAGGGGAATACAACAGCATTGGCATTGCGCTGGTGCTGGGTATTGGCTGTGGCAGTGTGACATAGGCTGCCTCTGCTGAGCAGCTACGGAGTCCTTTTCCCCTCGACGCTCAGTACTGTCGAAAAGAACGTGACCTACATACACGAGTGTGTACCTTGCACATCGCCCACAGCGCCGTACCTTACGCACATACGCGCGCGCGCACACACACACACACACATACACACACATGCGCAAGAAGAGCGTCTGGCAATCCTACGTTGCGCTCAGCCAAGAGGTTGAAGCAGCAACGGTAAGAAAGAGAGACAAGGAAAACTGAGTCTGGGATTGATGGGATGATTTGGGATGGACGCTGCAGCTAGAGGAACGAAACGATCCCAATCTTTGCAGAAAACTTTGTGCTCAGAGGCCAGTCTACCAGTACGTACCGGTTATCCTATGCTCACAGGCACAACCTTACACAGTTACACGGAAACAAGAGGCATAGAGACGGTTGGCTGGTCACTCTCAGTGTGCTTCGGAAGAGTATCATCTAAACACCGCAGCCCACCTACGGATGATTCCATTTGCTCCAGCTCGCTAGTGGCGAAACCCTTGCCCAGATCAGAGCTCCCAAAGACCTGGTTGTCTGTTTGCGGATACAAAAGATTGGGGATGTTGAGCCTTCTATCCGAGGAGAACAAAAGGACCAAGGGACACGGAGGAACACGACGGTCAACGCGACAAAGTCTGTCTGAGGGACACAGGTTGATCCAGTCGTTCTCGAAGAGTACAACCACTGCGCCAAACCAAAAACGAACACTCTGCGAATGAGAATGCGCCAAATCCCAGGGCAATCAATGTAAAGGTTCACCGTTCACCCCTGGCATCCGGCGCCATCCCCGTCCCCATCCCCAGCCACCCCATCGTCCCTCTGTCCATTCACCGTCCGTCTGCAGCCTATTCCTAGTCGGGTTCCTCGTCCACGGGATGTCGTCCCCTTCCGAACGATAAACAAGGACCAAGGAGAGGGCAAAGGAAGGACGGTGGATGAATGAACCGGCACAGGTCCTCATTAGCAACAAATCATGGTCCTTGTCAAACACTACCAACACACACTCGCAAACGCCAGAGGAATGATCAAACCAATCAACCTGAACCTTCCGGCCCGAATTCCAGGCTCGCCCACCCCCACACAATCCTACGTCTTCCGAATATGACGCTCTTCCCTCCCCCAATCATCATCGCCAAATGCCTCACTCAAACAGGAAGAAGCTTGTCTCTGACGCTTACTACGTAACTTCTCTTCTCCTCTCTGCGAGAAAAGTCAAAAGTCCAAGAAGATGCCATTTCCTTGTGAGGAAGCAGGTCGATCTCAATTACTTGACGCGAAGCCCGCCCTCAAGCGAACCCTTCCAAATCCATCATTAAGCGAAGCGATCGATGGCCCATCTCATCAATGATGGTTTCTTTAGTGCGAGTGATGGCTTTGCCATCATCAACGATTCAGGACCCTGCATTCCTGCATTCGTTCTCACCTACCAGCGTGTTGGTCCGTTGCCCGCCACTACCACTACCAACAATCACAGCCGATTCCTGCTTTTGTCTCCTCCCGATTTCCCTCACCCACACTCTCCTTTCTCATAGGCTACTCCCCCGCACCTTGCCAACTCGCAGTTTCACGAATCAACTCTCACAACCCAGCGCAGCCTAGCAAGGTGAAGTGACAAAAAAGCCCAGCCAGGCGCAGCAATACACCACCACCAAATACAATCCACTCTGACCATGCCTACTGGCCCGCCTCGCCTATCCCCGCCACTTGAGCGTCTTGCATCTTCACAGCGGATCCCCCCAAAGTACTTGCATACAAGAGTTGCGCCGCCCGGCCTCTGTGCGTCGTGGTCGCTGCGTGGACTGCTCGGAGAAATCGAGCTCGCATATTCGGCCTATCCGCGGCGTAAGTGACGAAGAAGCATCATCAGCCCGTATCATGTCCTTGCCTTGCCGTCGGGTACCTAGCTCGCCCACGCATATGTCTTGACACGGACGCCTCACACGGAGAGATAAGATGGCGCTTGACGCCCACGACGACACGGACACAACCCATGAAATCACCGGATGAGGTACAGCACATGGCCGGCCCCGCGATGTCAACTTTGTCGAGGCACTCCTCAGTTGCGCCTTGCCGCTCAAACCCGCGCCTTAACCAGTCCCACTTACCTCCGATCCGGCCCCTCACACCCCCGAACTTATGTCCATCTAAACTCAATCTCGAGTTGCATCTCGAACCATGTTTCGACCACCGCACTCAGATTCTGCGACCAAAGCCAGCGCACTCTCACTCGCTCATGCAATAAGCCCCGAATCTGTACATACACTAAACCCTCCGCCCCGCCCTCCAGCCTCTCGTTCGCTACCATCTTGTACTTTGGTTCTTTGTGAGCGGCCATCTCGGCAGTATTTTTCCAAGGGAGTAGTGCATTTCGTGAGAGAGTGTGTGTGTGTATGTGTGTGAAGGCGACTTGGTTTGCACCAACCAACAGACAACCCTAGCATCCGCGCCCTGCGGTAGTATGCAGGCAGGTAAAGTAGAAGCAAACAAGCAAGCCACAGGACGCAACAGCCGTAATCCTCTTCTTTTCCAACCCCCTTTCGGCCCAAATTCTCCCGCCCTTCCCCCCCCCCCCCCCCAATCGCCAACTCTCCAGGTCGGTAGAAGAAGATATAATAGGTTAGGTTATTCCGCACACTCGGCGCATGCGATGTACCGCAAACTATTGCTCCCGCGCAGCTGGGTAAACGACGCCAGAAATAGATGACACCACTCTGAACGAATACAACACATTTGGTGGTATTTGACGGTGAGCCTTACCTCGTTCGTTCCCTTGACCGTGCCTCTCTGCCTTTCCGCTTCTCGAGTGGAACCATGCACATATGACTGCCCCTCCAAGAAAGCTCAATGTGTTTTTCTTGGGAAGCTGTTTACGGACACAGACGTTGTTTTGTTGCCCACCCCCTCTTTTCCTCCGTGTGCCGTCCAACATCAGATAAAACGGTACTTGACACTTTGAATCTTAAAAAAAAAAAAAAAAAAAAAGGCCAACAGGGAAAGGGAAAAAATAGAAATGGCAACGAGGAAAAGGTTCTTCAGAATTAGATCATCCCCTGTAACGGAATGGCCATCCGGGACCATCAACGATAGCCATGTCTTTCTTCCCACCTTGCTCTCTTTCTCTCCGCTCTTCAAACCCAGAGGAGCGTAAGGTCATCCTAGAGTTGCACCCTGCTCCTCCGTGAGCTACTATATTGGGAAACATGTCGTAGCCTGAGCCCTCCCCACACCATCAGCATCCGAGCCACGAATTTGTCTTGTCTGTCCCCCCCCCCCCCCCCCCCCCCCCCTCGCCTTGCTTAATGCTGCCGCTAGCCGTTTCGCTCTTACATGAATGGAGGAGTAGTAAAAAGCTGGAGCATAAAGATCAAACAGCTCGCCTTGTATATATTCAGTTTTACAAGAAACATCCCTATTCCGTCGCCGTGACATGGAAACAAACCCCTCCATCCCCATCTCGTTATGTCCTTGACAACCTCCGCCTTGCATTTGTTGAATTCTGGGGGAAAACAGCTCAATGCTTTAGAACTGGGTTGGGTCGCTGGGTGATCCATTCACAGCCCGTCATCTTCCAACGGCCATACACGGTTTATGCAATCAGAAACTCCCTGACAGCAAGCACCGCCGTTAAGCGGCTCTCGCTCCCGCAACGATGCATAAAACGCAAAAATGCTTATATGATATGGATACCGCCGGTTTAACCTTTCAGAGAGAGGGATAGTGCTCTGCAATGCCAAACATGCATGAAATATGCAACCGAATCTTCGTTCCAGAGACTCGTTCGCGGAGGGGGCGCGGGGCGCGGCTTGAAAACGATCAGAATAGGTTCCAGCCCTCCGTTCCGGTTTTTCGGTTTACATCATCTGCTGCTGCTGCTGCTGCTGCTTCTGCTGCTGCTTCTGCTGCCAATGAAGAGTGATGGACTGGCATGACATATGCTTGCGGGGGAGGAATGAGAGAAACGTGGGGAGGGTGGTTCTCAGCTGGTCCATTCCAGAGAGGGGGGCAGGACAGGAAGACATCAACCGTACCGTACAACACCCCCCCCCCCCTTCACTTATCGTCATCATCTTTCGGCAGCGTCTTGCTATCTCCGACATTCAGTATGTCCCCGATTCGTAGGTGGACTAAGGTAGGTCTCGTAGTTTTATCGCCGCCGTTGCTCCGAGATGATGCCATAATCTGACCTCGCAACACTTTTCGCATCCACAGTGTTCCGCCTTTGCAACGCCCTGTTTTGCCGTGGCGTGGTGGAGTGATAATCGTAGTTCCTGCTCCAATATGATAACCCTTCCTTTTGCCTTGTCTCCGTTGACTTAGACCAAGCGCTGGCTGGATGTCCCGTCTCTGACTTCGACTCCAATCCTGCGGTCTTGTTTACCTAGCCTTCACGCTAAGTACCGTATCTCACCTCTTGGAGAAACGCGAACCATCTTAATCTGCTTCAGATGCTGGTCGCTTGTATACATGCCCCGAAAGCCATCCTTGAGAAGGTTCTCAGAATCACATGCCACCTCATCCTCAACAACCCCGGATGTAGCCGACTTTTGGCGCTTCGGGGCTGACTGATATGACGTCCGAATCGCAACTCGGAAGCTTGTATGACGGGCTGTTAGCCGCGTAAGATCTTGAATGATCTTGCTTCATCGGCCATCTCCCTTGAGAAACAAGCCTAAATCTTCAAGGCCGCCAGCCGCTGGTCGATCTTAACCCGTACCTGTCTGCGTCCTCGCGGCTATCACTAAGCCAGGCACGCTTCATTACCCTACGTGAGCGCTTCCAGTATGGCCGCAGATCCGTCGCTTTCTGTACTCGCCACCTCATCTCTCTGGAACTGCCGCGTGCTTCCGTAGCCGTGTCGATCATCACGGGAGTCTAACGCCAACGCCATCTCTCTTTCTCTCTCTCTCGCTCTCGCAAGTCTTTCTTGTTTCACGTCGTCTTGTTGAACGACTGTTTCACCTATTTGCAAGTTGCCGTTTCCCGGCACTGGCGGGTACGACTCCTCCTTGTCATTCTTCTCGTCAAGTAAATCAATCAGCAAGTGCTGTTATGTTTAGCCCTGGACACTGCAACACGCAGCTGTATCATGATACCAGGAGCTCTTGACCTAGTCCAGAGCTTGCTTCCCTATTGCTCAGGCGTCTTTGATTGCTAATGACTGTATTCGTAACCTTAGGAAAGCGATATCATCTCCCACTTGAGAGATTCCTGTTTTCTAAGACGCAGCCCCCTTCTCGCGGTAGTCAGGCTCGGTTGACAAAGGGCTTCCTTCGTTCTTTCCATTCTGCCTTATACTACTTTGGCAGTCTGAAGACCCGCCATAGGCCGAACTTGGTTGTCTCTGCAAGGAACCATAGCCCGTCCTCTCTAGTCTGCAACCACCAAGCAGGCCTCTGTCGAACATAGTGCGGTATCGGGCGTATCTTCGAACACACCCTGCGTAGATGGAACACACACACACACACATACACACAGCCACTCGCTGCTTTGCGAAGCCCCTGACAGTTTCCACACTTCAAGTTCAGGTCCCGGGAAGTACTTGCTGAGTATCCCAAAGTATCTTTATACCGGCCTTTGGCGTCTGTCCCGTGAATCTAGATCATCCCTACGGGGTCCACGGTAGGCCGCCAGCCTCATCAGACCTAATATGGTAAGCACTTCGAGGTTTCGGAGCCGACCGCCCGGGAACTTCACCACTGAGCATCGTGAGAATCAGTTTCGAATGCGGGGAAGGTGGCAACTGTGAAAGGGTCCAACGATGATCATGAGCACCAGCTCGGGGCGTATAGGGCTTGAGAGGGCGTGAAGAGTCCGGATAGGAAATGGAAGGACGTCGAGGTCACTTGACAACCATCTTCTGTTCTTCGGCGGGCCTACCAGCTTTTGGGCCCATATGCCGGTCATCCAGGACGCGAATCAGCCAGGTCGTATGACCGGTTATCTCTTCGCCCGCAGAGGCCATGGTAGGTAGGGAGGCGAATTCTTTCGCACATAGCGAATGACTTGTAAATAGAGAAAAGTCCTGTGAGGAATGCCTGACTCACAATGGGGCGAATTCATGTCCTGAGGTCCATCAATGAAGCTTTACTGGTAGACCAACCCTGTGCCATAGCCAGGATATTGCCACTGGTTCTCCTTACTGAGGATCAATGAATGTTGACAAAGGTCTTTTTGGATTCTGAAGCTCATTGTTGTCACAATGACAAACCCCTTTGGAAAGAGTACGCAGGTCGACGAGAAGTTAACGTAAAGGACCAGAAATAATACAGACCTAAGAGCAGTCGTCCGATCGACCTCAACAATCATGCCGTATGATGGCCATGTAGGTCACCTTGCATAGTGATGGACATTCTGCCTGCTAGAGGTCCCCGAGGACCAAGCGAAATGTATTTTTCGATATGCGAATGAGTTCACTCACCCAACAGAATGCCATACGTCTGTGTAAGGGTTTGGCCCTGGTCACCACACCGCCGGCCCAACGGCGGCAAAGGCGTCCTCGGTTACACAAATATCACCTTATGAGCGTAGGATCTGAGATTCCAGAATCGTCTAGCATCTATCAATAGTAGACTCGTTATGAGTCCGGTAACAGCGTCCGAAATAGCAGAGCCGACAGCTCGTCTTGGGATGGACTGCCAAATGGATCAGGCCGCATCGACCCTGGGACCTTGCACCCTGTGAGACTTGCATTAGAGAGATTGGACAACTCACAACGCTGCAATGTATGCAGCATGTACACCGTCCAACGCGACTGGCAACTGAGTTCATCATTACAAAGCGGGCATGGACGGAATAATTCACTCACAGGAGGACTTTCTTGGCCTCTGCAGGTCGGCATAACGCCAGTTTGCTCCATCAACGACAAATGGGTCTGCAACGCTGCTTGACCACAAAGACAGTAACGACACTGCATCAGACAGAGAGGACGAATGCGCATCATCCAAGATCGACCACTCCGGAATGTGCTCTCCTGCTTCCCCGAGGCATGCTTCCCGCACTATATCACCCATCCCACCTTGGGCCGTCATCAAAGCCTGGATCCATCGCAGGCCGCGTGGGTGTATGGGCCGTCCAAATATGGAAGTAAGACCTGCCCAGGTTCCCACGAGAAGGAACCATGGTCGCTCTCCGCCGTATCCAAGGGACTGGGGCCTGACGTATGATGACGGAGAAGGGTTAGGACAGCATCACACAAGCCGCGGGGGTCAAATCGGCTGGACAGGAATGACGGAACGAAACGGCTGTCGCATAAAACGAGGCTGCCAGAGGTCAGAGTAAGCAAATAGATTACGAGGTTATACATACCTTTGCCGACCAAAAGTCTTTCAAGGGTCATCGTGTTGCCCAGAAGACACCTCTGAAAACTTTTAACAATTTGCACCGGATAGACGGCGTACCAGAAACGAGACGGAAGGGTTCCATTAGAGAAGGGACCATGGCAGGCCCTTATTCAGGGGGCGCTCTTCCAACGGACATCAGGCCATGGATATCCAGTAGCTCGGGAGCGGTTCCAGCGTTTCTTGACGGGGAAAACGGCGTTCTAGGCTCCTTGACCTCGCTTCTTGGCTCCAACCATTGACGAATGCCGGCCTGCAGCACGTCGGGTCTGCCGGCGCAACTCGCCCGCAGTTCCGATGCTGGCAACCATAATGGTTAGCTGCACAGCCGGTATCAGCGATGACAAGCCTGACAGTCGAGCATATTACACTGCATTGTGCAGGGACCTGGCACTGTGGAGACTGACGAACAGCTGAGATGTGAGAAGTTCGTGCTATAACTGATCTGCCCTCGTTCTTGGTCGCATCAGATCGCGATCTAGTTGTCTTATCAAGCAAGTATTGTGTCCAGGAAGACACCATCACTTAATTCAGACGTAAAGCTGTAATCCCCAACATTACCGCAGCTCAAGACTGCGTCATTGGGTACCTATATGAGAAGATGGTCAGCATGTCAAGGACTCACTTGAAGCACACACACACACACACACGCGCACACGCAGAGACACACGCGCGCGGAACACGGGCGGCACCTGCGTCCAAGAGACAAGCATACTATCGATACGTGACAGCTCACAAAATGACATTAACCTGCCTGCCCGCCTGCCTGCCTGAGTATGGAATGGAGCCGCCAGCAGCTTGATAGTCTGCATGTCCATGCCGCGATTCTATGCAGAGTTTTCCAAGTGGGCTCAAGCTTGAATCCTGTCCTTCTTCAGGTGCGTGTGGGCGCAAGCAGCACAGTGGACCCTGAAGAAACATCCGACGAAGCAAAGCAAGTGAGTGAGCGTGTGTCACATCCATCCACCACCCTACAACCTCCACTAGTAGGTCCTGAAGTGGGCTTCTTTGTCTCGGAAACTTGATTCTTCTTACTGCTTCCACTGGTGAGGAGAATGCCGAGCTTTCTGCAAAGAGACCCGTTCTGCGTATGTATAGCAGTGCTAGGTGTGGAGTATTGAAGAGCGCACCTCGTAGTGACGAAGAATTGGAGGGTAGTCACGGAGTACGCGGCGGACGATTTGGGAGCCTGTAATGGGCAAAACTTTTTTTTTTTCCTTCTTCAGTTGTTGGCGCTCGCTTGTCAACGCCTGCTCCGTGGCCAGGCCCGTGTGTCATCCGAACCGGGCGGCAGCCGTGGCATTCTCCAAGCACGCCTCTGGCAATATACATACATGGGTTGTCTCCGAACAAGCTAAAACATCCTGGGGAGTCCTTAGCCGCTTGCCCCAGAGTATCAGTCGCCATTTGCGCTCTAATTAGACCAGGGAGGGAGATGATCTTCTGCACGGGGTACAGTCTCCATTGACATCAGTGTTGCTGACCAGAATCTTGCGTGTTTGTGAATAACGGGCAAGAGTGCATTGAATTAACCAATATGTCTGGACCGCCTGGCATGTCTTGAGCACAGAATGGTGAGCTAGTTTTCACTGCTACTCGGCTTATCGAAGGGATTAGTACTTGTTGCCGTAACTGACCTAACAGAAGTCAAATAATATCACACTGGGTCTTGAGTGACGCCGGAGTATGTCCTGTTGCAGAAAAAGAGCCTGACCGTCGCGTGGAGAGACAGAGGCTGGGCAAGCAGGCAATTGAAGAGGGGCTGAAGGCATATACGTATGTAGGTACCTCTCTTACAAAATGATCTTAGGACAGATGTCTTTACGACAGGGGGGCCCGCTCACGTCGGCTCGGCCTTGAGGCGTACGATTTGCGGGAGTGTTGGCGGAGTGTTGGCGAGGAGCAGGTCCCGCAATGAGCCGGAATCGCAGGTTGCCAGCCCTCACAAAATGGGACCATGACTCGATGTAGCCATTGAGCTCCGAGTTGTTTACTTGACGTGCATTTCGTGTCAAATCGTGCCGTGCTCAAGGCATTCGAGACCAGGCTTCATGCATCAAGGTCGAATTATGTACTTGTGAAAAATAGATTTGGCATGTTTTAAACACAACAAAAATATCAGCGAGGGCAACTCCGTCAAGACACCTCAGCGGTGAAACGAGGTTGATGGCGTTGGATCAGCCGCCTTTGGGAGTTGCGGACCGCCCTAAGCCGTGTAATTTATAACAGAAGGTGATGGGAAGATATGGCTTCTTTAGCTGGACCGGCCTATTGCTTCTGGCATTTGTCGAAAGCTACAGGTAAAGATGGTATATGCCTGTGACTGGCATATGTTGAGAATCCAAACGCGCCATAACCGCGCAGAAGCTGAAATTGGGCACCAATTGACTCGGTCATCGGTTAAAAGGCCGTGGACGGAATCAGAAGCAGTGAATAACGGAGTGCAGTCGGCGGCGATGAGGTGGGCTAATACGGTACCGGTGCGTGCGGCATGCCCACGGCGGCCCACTTTACAATATCAAACTAAAGTCGAGCTTCGCTGCGCTGATGATCTAGTATGCTGTGATGTGGACTTTAGGGATTCCCAATGGAGTCAGATGCATCGAACTATGCACTTATTCTACGTTGCTTGGTGGTGAGAGCCAGAAGACGTAGCATTCGAGGTAGCTATGGTGGGCAAGGCAAGGGACGTTGCTCCCACGCGCCCTCGTCGGCAGTCGGTCATCCCACACACGAGGCAGTCGAACAGCATAATAGCAGCATGGTCGAACATTAGAAGAAATCCATGCAGCGTGGGTGAAGAGACTTGTAAGGTCTTTCTTCTCTCTTCGCGAGGATTGCCCGAGGACTCCATAGACTATCGATGCATGCGTTGTTGCACAGGCGCCAGCGTGTAAGCACGGTACAGTCGCAATATCCATATTCTCCGTAGCTAGGTACGCAAATTGAGCGACAAGCATCTCTTCAATGAGGACCGGGCTCGCCAGTAGTGAATGGGACTTCCGGGGGTGTGGCTCATTTCAACGCCCATGTTGCCGAACGGTGCATGCGGCCGTCGAGTTCCATTGCGTACGGGAAGGGGCGCCGAGGCAGGGCAGTAAGATCTGGAAATTGCAACAACGGCCGAATGCTGGGGCAATTAAGCTGCGAGGGTGAAAACAGGGCAAGGTGCCAAGTGAAAGGCGGCTGGCAAGACCGTATGGAGGAGCATCTCGAAATGGACGTCGGAAGGGATTAACACGTTGTGGCCGATGATTGTACGATCGAAGTCAAGAAGGACATGGGAGGTGAAGAGGCATTCCGGACGACGGAGGTGATGAGGGGGGAGCAGAACCTGGGAGAAACGTGAGGAATCGTAGGGCTTTGTGTTTTTGCGGTCTGATGCCAAACACGCCTTACCTCTTAGCTTTCTCGAAGTGCTCTTTTGCGATACGGAGTACCTAGTTTGTCGTTGAGAGAAGTGACGGCACATGTTGAAGAAATCTGTGTCTACAAGATTTGCATCAAACATTTTGTGGGCACTCGCAGAACGTTACATGTGTGTGTTTAATTTGGCAGCAGGCAACACGACCCGGAAAGTCTTTGTATGCGTCTCCTGGTGCAGGTACTAAGTACCAAGTCGGAAGGAAGTAGGAGGCTGCAGACAGTACCTTCTTCCTTTTCTTTTTCTTCTTTTTTCATGAACGTCCCTTCCGTCCCAACGTCAATGGGCTTTTGGGGGTGGGGAGTGAGACAGGAACGGGAGGGGGATTTGTGCATTCGACTTCCTTGTCTGGGTATCTATCTATCTATCTGCCTTATCTCGGCCAGGCGTCCTGGGGTATGTATTTTCGATTTCGGCCGTAAAGGCAGGAACCATCTAATACCTGTCCACACCTTATCGTAACCCTTGAGCCTTGCAGCCGTTGTCTTCGGTATCTTTGAGATCTGGAATTTTCATGCACCAAGACATCCAGCTTGTCGGGCTGGCTAGAGATCAGAGACGGGAAAGAAAAAAAAAAAAAAAAAACAAGGACCAACAGTCGGATACCTCCCTTCAACCTCGGGGGTACATGGCATGGCATGTCCGTGCCGTACTTTTCTCTGCATTGTGGGTTTACTGGTAACGGCATAGCTGAGTCCTACACTGTCGTCCACTGGGCAAGGTCGATGCCAAGCTGGGCCAGCCTTTTCTCTTAGATGCCGTTTTTTTTTTTTTTTGCTGGGTCAACCTGCACCCGCTTCACCTCACATTTCGTCATATTCAGCGGCATCGACGTTCAAGGCGCACTCGTCGCCCTCTAATCACTCTTCGCTGGGACGCTAAGGCAAGCTTCTCCCCAACTAATTTGGTCCGAGACATTCGTTAACCCGCTCCATCAACCACTATGAACCAGTCACGGCCAATTCTTTCGAGAGACTTAGGCAAGAGCTCACTCGTCTATGCAGCTCGAGATATGCTAATGCTCGCATTCATCACACCCATCACGTTATTCCGTCTTCCCGCCCGTCTCCAAGGAATGTCTCTCCGTCGCTCCGTGGCCGTGTCCCGAGACTTGTGATCGACTCTCCTTCCAGCTAGGCTTAATCGAAGCCCGCCTAATGGGCCAGATGGCCGCATTTCCATACTAGACAAACCTGGAATACATCAAAGAGAAGAAATGGCATTTGTGACGGATGAGCAGAGTTAAAATGTCCGTCCGACTTTGGCAGCCGTTGCCGAATGGCCGATCCGGCTGCCACCCAACCATAGCCCCCAGCCGGCTTTCGCCTTCGCCTTAGCCTTAGTGCTCTAGCTCCAAATACAACGCTCTTGTCTCGTCCCATCCCATCGTCCACTTAGATCCTCCACAATGCCTGACTTTCCTAAGACGACTTCCCGATCCCCTCCAGCATTCTATTACGGATACATAACTCATCTAGGAAATGGCACGACGTCTCTCCGTCCTCATACGGCAAGGCTTCGTCTTGTCCTCCTCTGCTCGTGTTTTTAATCGAGATCATGGCCAAAGAAGATGCCCCCAGGTTGTGGTTGCACACCACACCTAATCTATCCATCACCCCTCATCCTTGCCATCTCCCACATACACCATGCAAGTGCTTTCTGATGTCAGGTCTAAACGTGGGTGTGATGGACTGATCAGTGTCTCACGCAAAATGCAGACAATTCGCATGCCTTTTTTTCACCCTCCTTTTTATTTTCTATCAGATTGATGGCTTCATGGCTTGCAGCTTGCAGGAGATACCAGTTGGATGTGGTGGTCAGTTGAATGAGGGGGACCCCGAGATAGCGGCCGGCACAAGCCAAGTGCAGCGGCACGTACTACCTCCTGTCGTGGCTCTTCCGCACTCACACGAATTGAATGAAGCAAAAGCGCGAGCGCACGTTTATTCGTCTCCAGCTTATAGCTACGCTGCACTTCGCACGCGCATTCGGCCGGCACACGTAAAAGGAGTGCGTGCGGACGCGACCTTTTCTCTGTGCATTTGGTCCGGACTTCCAGGTGAGATGGCCTCCTAGTAGTTCGCTGGCCAGCAGAAATGAGACAGGATACAACGGGCCTGTTGATTGATGGAGACAGAGCTGTCAAATCTCCACTGCCGCGCCACAACCCTCTCTCGGCAGGACAACACAACATGGGGTATTTGGTGGCTCTTCGCTTGCCTGGCCAAACGTTTGGCCAAAGTCAATCAACCTTGGGGATGGTGGTGATCTACAGGCTACGGGAAATATTCGCGCCTTTTTGCAAATGCTAACCCCGGGCCCGTTATCATCGCGAAAACAGCATCCGCCCCGGCCAAGGACGGCAAGGATCAGAAGCATCATGGAACATCAACCCTGTCGGTCCTGTCGTCGCAATATGGCAGGTCAGACTGAAGAATGCGAGTGCAAAGCAATAACGCTGCGTCTGTCACTGCTCTGTCTGCAACCTTCATCAGATATCAGAATCGTCTGAGCAACAATGCCCATCCAGCCCCGGCTTGCATTATATTGTGTTGCTCTCAACAGCAGCAGTCAAGCACACCTCACGTTACCCATCATTAGCGCATTCACGCACGCCGACATTCACACCCTCCGCGGATGCTTTCGCCCTCGCTCGACAACCCTACGGAGCGGTAGTAACGGACAAGCCCATGACAGACAGAATGGAAGGGAGACAAGAAAGGCACAAAATGACCCGATAGTCACGGAGGATCGATTAGTTGAGGCAACTGCAGGTCCGAAAGATGAGTCGGTTGGTACGGGTACGGATGCCATTTGACGAATACAGATACAGGCAGACCCCCAGCACAGAAGAGAAGCGCAAGTCGTAGCAGGGCAGTCTGGCGTGCCTCCGCTCCGCTACCTGCGGCAGCATGCTTTTCCCAGTCTGGCCTGGTTTCTGCTTGATAACGGGCCAGACAAGAGACGAGTATCCATAATAAGCAGCGCAAATGCTTGTTCGTCCGCTCGATTTGACTCCACGCCGTACGTTCGTTTGTCAGATGCAAAAACTGGGGACCTCTACAGCGGCCCAGGCCATTTCCTGGCCAGGGTCCCGTCAGTGCGCGCAAGCCTACCTTACCTTACATGCCTAGTGACTACTGCGTGAAGGTTCCTGCTTCTCCAATTTTTCAGGATTTTACCCCTCCCGGTTTTGCAAGCCTGCGGCTAAGGTACTACTCACTGCCAGACTCTTTTTCCCTCTTCCCTTGTCTGTAGCTTGCTACTGCTGCTGCTGCTGCTACTACTACTACCACTACCACCATTGTCGTTGTTACCAATACTGCTAACGCCGCTGTTACTTACCAGGCTAGGTTGAATGGCAGGAATAGGCTGCTACTGCCGAAATTTCATCTATTCTCTCATCTCGTTCCGTGGTCCACGTCCGGCCGCTCTATTTTGCTCTTGTTCTTTCGCGACTTACTGAGCCATTGATTTGTCCTTGCCTAGCCTATCTTGGCCTGGCCCTTGTCTTTTGTCCATCCGTTGCTGCAACCCGTCAGGTCAAGTCCTGTATCCGTATTACTTAGGACAGGTACCTTCGAAACCATCGACGGCAAGGCTCTGCTCCTGGTCCTTGTCACCAGCTCCTCCAGGCGTCTGCTCTCCACCTTTGTCTCTGGATGTGCAGATGGCCAGTCGTACTCACACGAATGATGGAATCTGCCCACCCGAGCAGTGGATCTCCAAATCTCGCCCTGCTGCCATTTTCCACATCAACTAGCCGCTCAACCATGGAGACTGGAGAACAGACACCAACCATGAGCAAAAGGACCCTCCCTGGCGCGCAGGGTATGGCGTTATTCGCGCGCTACACTAGGTTTTGGCAACAATTGTCCATCCGAAAAAAAAGAGTACTAACCTGTTCTCGTCTGTTGTCGCCTCTTCATCCTCACTCCCCCCTCTTGACTCTTCAGGCCATCCCCTCTGTACCCGTAGCCTCCACAGGCCGCGGTGGTTTCGCTCCCCTCCCCACCAGATCGCCCCCGCTTTGTGATTCGCGTTTCCCCAGTCGCTATCCATAGTGCAACGGGGCCAACAAGAGAGGAGGAGAAGAGAGAGGGAAAGAGAGGAGGCGACAGGGACCAGCAGCTCCAGCCGCCTCTGACTGCTTACAGCTGTTGTTTCGTGACGTGCCAACCTAGGGTCGAGGTTTGAGGGGTCCAGGACGGTCATGGTCCGTGGTTGACTCCATATCCGAAGCTAAGAAGTGACAAGGGACAACAATTAGGAAGAGCAGGGCAGGGCACCATACGGCCCCCAAACCTGTTTGCTTCAATTCGAATTTCGTCTGGGTCGATGGCGCGCCGTGGAAGCAAGGACTTACTTAGTGATGAGGTCGACAAGGCGAGGGGAAAGGGAGAAAAAAAAAACGATGCCTGCAACGCGAGAACTTATCGCAGCGCTACTGTTTGCAAGTGCTGATGCCAGGCTGATACGATGCGTCGATAGGAACGAAACCTGCCAATGCCAGCGCCTCTGAGGGCTTGCTAAAGAAGCGTCGTCCCAACACGGAGCCACAAAAAAAATCAACAGCCTCTGGACTCCATCCACACCCCCAAGAGCCCCAGCCCAAGCTTGGCCGGTCTTCAATCCAGCCTATGTTGGAGACAAGAGGCAGCAGGCGCAGTAGCGGCAGCAGCACACAACCAGCACCACCAGCAGATGCAGGCTGGGAAGGCAGGCAAGCAGGTAGGCAGAGCATGAGGTGGGAGGGTAGCGTAAGAGAAAGATACTTACATCGCGCGGGTGGGCTCTTCCCCTCCAAGTACGCGCAAGTACCGCCATCGTACCCTAGGAATCCTTGCTGGGGTCTGCGTAGAGGAGACGTCGATTCAACGCCTCTTCGCCTCTTTTTTATTTCTGCAACTGGCACACACGCCCCCCCTTCCCACCCCCGATACAACCGCCGACCACGCCCCTCCCCTCCCTCTCTCCCCTCCCCCTCCCCAATACCCTTACATGAATGAACGTGATGCAGCTCAAGTGTGGTGTAGCTAAGAAAGTCGAAAGTCGAGGATGTGGCAGTCTAGACGAGGTACCTTCAAGACCCGTCGTCTTGCCTTCCAGCACCATAATCTTAGACAACACGCACTTCGTACATCCATTGCATTACATTAGACACATCCATCCCATACCTAGCCAGTACTTTGTTACCTTGTTTGGATGGAGGACCACAACCATCTCAATGCATTGGCGCATCTCTTAAACAACCCATGCATGGTCTGGCAGCCCACCACATCTGGCTATATATCCTTGTCCCTCGCCCCAGGTCTACTCACCTTGGACAACCTCATTATCACTTCTTCCCTTGGGTCATTGTTGTTTTTAAAAAGACCAATTGGTCCGCGCAATGGTTTGAGTTTCCATTGTCATCTTTCATCTCTGTATAATACCTCAGTTTGACCCCTCCTCGACCCTCCTCCAGCATCCCATACTCGCGGCTTGGGTGTTGGTCCTCTTCCCCTCTTGCCCGTGTCACTCATTGATACCACCTACTCGGACGGACGCAGACAAGACGCTCTGACAGTCCGATCTGTTATCTCGATCGCTTGGGTCCTTCTAGACTGAAAGGAAGAAGAGACTTGGAGATAGACTGAGAAAGAGAGGCTTGGGAGCTTCGCAGCTTGAGGAGACCACGATCTTACTCGGAAATCTTGATTATCCAATCAATCCATCCACCCATCCATCACTGTTGGCCTACGAGCGTAATACCTTGCCGGTAACAGTTTCACTTTGGGAAATCTACCCAAACTCCCCTTCTAATTCCCTTTTTGGTACCGTCTCTCTCTCGACGCTGCTGAAAGATTTGGGTTGCCACTCCCCTACCACACACTTCACCTTTGTAAAGACCTACGCACCATCAGGCGGCAGGAACAACCACGAGTCACTGCCCAATTCGGAATTCACCACAACGACCTTTCGAGAAGAAAGGCACGTTTATCAACAACGGCAATAGCAACCGCCACACCCCGAGATCCCACTTGATTTTCTCAGCCCAGAAGGCACGCCACACAAACTCTGCTTCCCACCTCTTCACCACAACCTTCGCCCGCAACTTCACACTGCGGTCACGTCTGTTCCCGCCTACGATCCTACCCTCGTACAACAACTCGGCACTTTCACGCACGCTGCGAAATAACAACTGAAAACATCACCATGGCTTCCGTCATGGATCTCTTCCTGCCGAATCTCGGCTTCGGCTGGTCCCCTAACGCCTGGATGTATGTTTTCATCGCCTTGTGGTAAGTCAGCCCTTCTGTGAACCGCTTTCTTTGTGAGCAATCTCACTTTGGCGTTTCACGTTCACTCTGCTAAGAGTTTACAATCTGACGTACTTTACAGGCTTCATCGCTACGTTCGCCTTCTTGTCCACTGCGTCAGCCACTGGGCATACAAATCCAAGCCTATCCCCAGCAAGCCAACCTTCACCGCAGACGATGTTACCGTCATCATCCCAACTATTCACAATGTCTTTGAGGAACTGCGCCCTTCTCTTCTCAGTATCTTGGCCTGCAAACCTCATGCCCTGATGCTTGTTACTACTGTAGAGAAGCACGCTGCGCTGGAGAAGCTTGCCCACAGCCTTCCTCACCCCAATGTCCAGGTCTACTCTACCCCAATCGCGAACAAGCGTCTGCAGGTCTGTGAAGCCCTGCCCAAGGTCACCACCAAGATCACCATCATGGCCGATGACGACGTAACCTGGCCCTCCACCCTCATGCCTTGGATTCTGGCTCCCTTCGAAGACCCCAAGATCGGTGGTGTCGGTACTTGCCAGAGAGTTAAGCGCGTCTGGGATGGTCCGTGGTCCACCCGCATCTTCAACTGGCTGGGAGCAGCTTACATTGAGCGACGCAACTTTGAGATCTCCGCTACCCACAACATCGATGGAGGTACCTCTTGCATGTCTGGCAGAACCGGTGCCTACCGGTCCGAAATTCTCTCTAGCCACGACTTTCTTGAGGGCTTCAAGACCGAGAAGTGGGGCAAGTACATTCTCAACGCCGACGACGACAACTTTGTCACTCGCTGGCTCGTCAGCCACCAGTGGAAGACTTGGATTCAATACGAGCGCGAGTGCGAGCTGGAGACTACCCTTGAGAACAGCACCAAGTTCCTCTACCAGTGCTCCCGGTGGGCTCGCAGCAACTGGCGCAGCAACTGGACCAGCCTCGTCAAGGAAAAATATGTTCTTACGTGAGTCCTCATCATTTTTATTTTTTCTTTCCCTTCCATTCCCCTCTTCGCATGACCCTTGGATTTTCATCCCTACCCAAGTCAAGCCCGTGCCGCGCTACTGCACTTTGCTAGTTCGCACACAGAATGCTAACCAATGAGAAAAATAGTCAGCAGCCATGGTGCACCTATGCGCTCCACATTGCGACCTTCACGTCCCTGGCTTTCCTCTTCGACCCCCTCATCATCTTTGCACTATGGAAGGGTACTGCTGAGTGGGATATTGACAGCCGCAAGCAAGCTCTGTGGGCTCAGATCATCTTCGTGTTTGGCTTCACCAAAGTCATCAAGCTCATGGGTCTCTTCCGACGCAACCCGAGCGACATCATTTTCTTGCCTGTGTCCATCATTTTCGGATGGGGTCATGGATTCATCAAGCTCTACGCGCTGTCAACTTTGAAGATGGTAAGTTGGTTTTAGTTCACAATGAGTCTTGCTGTATCTGGTCCAGCTAACACTTTGTGAACAGACATCCTGGGGCAGCAGAGCCGATGGTGACACCAACGACGACATTCGTCTGACCCCCCGCCCCAAGCGCGCTATGAGTTTGACCACGCCCCCCGGCGGCCAGGATCTCGTGCGCTACCGCCACGAGCGTCAGATGACGGAGAAGGTCTCCGACTGGCACCGTTCCTCCGACGAGCCCCGCAGACCCCAGGCCGTGAGGATGAACACTCACCCTGCCAAGGGCATAAAGCCTCACGTCACTTTCTCGCTCTTGGAGCACCCTTCGGGCTAATGGAAATACGATGAGAACTTAACGAATTATGACAATGCGACAAATGGATTTGCTAGAGGTGAAACGGGACTCTGGCCGGGTGCGCTCCCTACTTGTCTGTAGGGAGTGAAATGGGAGGAATTGTTTGGTCGAAGTCAGTTTTATGTCTTCGACATCATCGCCTTTTCTTGCAGCCCATTTTTTTTTACGGAAAACAAAATCACCCACCAAAAAGGATATTGAGGCGGGAAAAAAGTTTTTTCGGTTGTTTTTTTTTTCCCTCCCTCCCTTTACGATGGATACGTACAGTCAATAGCATACGGAAACGGAAGCACAGGACAGCAACAGTGTGTGTCGGATCTTAATTATCCAGGGCATCATTGAAGCAGGAAGAATGGAGGAGAAGAAAGGCGGTTTGGTCATCTGTTTATCGAGACGACTTTGGCCTCTGGATTTAACTCTTTTGTTGCCAAAACCAAAAAAGGAAAGGACGGGTCGTTGGCCTTTGTGATTTCGCTTTTCTCTATTTCAGTTCATTTTCAGGTTTTCATCAACCCCGAAAAGAGTTGCGGGAAGGGCATCGCGTGGCGGGCGGGCAGGCAGTTTGACCTTTTTTTTATTATCATTTTCCTTGTTTGTTTTTCCTTTTCTTTCTTACAAAGGCAAACCCAAAGAACGGTGGCATTTTTCTCTAAACCATTGCACCAAAAAAGGGAGGCGAGACAGAAAGACAGAGAGAGAGAGAAAGATGCATTAGACCTGTTTGGTCTTTCATTACTACTCCCATTACTTCATTATTTTCTCCTCAAGCAATGCTTTCCATAGACTGTGAAGAAAGAAAGCTTTCTAAGTGAAGACTAACGTCCTCATGAATATCGTGATGAATGAGGTTTGCAATGACAAGATGTAGTGGTCAGACTGCTGGGCCAATAGAAGCACGGTGCCATTGTGCATTTTTTTTTTTGATGAACCGGGGGATCGACCAGCCAGCCTTGCTAGTCCGATCGGGAAGGGGGCGATGGTTCCCAGAAGAAACAAGCAAGCATCAGCAGCATCTACCACGCGTGGGCCGTTACACAGCAGACGATGGCGTCTCGTATCCCTCCATTGGGAATGCGTCTTCCGAGTTTCCCATGTCTCCCCACCAGGGCCTGCCAAATACCGGCCCCGAGCAAGCTGCGATATCTGGCTGCTGGCTGGCCTCCCACGCACACAGTTTAGGTTCTTGAAACAGGTTACACAACAGGGCCAAGGAATGCGAAAGCTCACTAATTCTCCGGCTGGGCTGGAGAAGGGGAGGGGGAGGGGAGAGGGAGAGAGAGAAAGAGAGAGAGATGTCACCTTCTTTGGACGGTAGATGGCTGTGTCCATGTCCCATGCGCCTCGTTTAGACTGTCGTTGCTGTGGATGGGTGTGGTGGTGGTGGTACGGCGCTGGGCGTGGAGAGTTGGGAGGGGGGCTCTTCCTGTCTTACATGACGTCCTCTCGCCAGCCTTGGTGGGGTTCGGACTGAGGGGGAGGGGAAGGGGAATGGGTGTGGATGACAGATAGCCGATGAGGCACGAGGCTCAAAGGAGGACGGAGGAAGGAAGGCATGTTGCCTGATGTCTCCGCCGTGGCCGGGGTTCTTCTCCTGCACATCCACATGATATTGTGGGCGAGTATGAGAGCAAAGAACTACTATGTACATGTGTTTGTTCCAAGTTGTGCTGTGGTGGGTGTGTTCTTGAAATTCTTGGACGTCCATGTGCCTACCTCTCTCTGACTTTTGGCTGTTTGTTCGTGGCTGGTGGCACATACGGTCCCCCTCTTGTCTCACATCTGGGCTGGCTGGTTGACTAGCTTGGTAACGACGACGTGTGTGCGTGTGCTCTTTTTTTTCGTGGCTGGTAGTTTGGAAGAGATCCCACACCCTCCATTATCTCACCCCTCCATCCTTGCTAGTTCATCCAACGGTTCGAAACTTGTCTCGATCAGGACAACAGTTCTTCAAACTAAAAAGAACGGGCTCGGATACTTTGACGTCTCCACTCTCAACGGGTAGAACTGAGGCAGGTGATGGCTTCGAGATACGTAAAACCCCGCAGGTAGAGAGTCTCCGGACCGAAGATTGGCGTTCAAAGACCCGAGAGAGAGCGGATGGCCGTTGGACTTACAGGGTGTGACGAGAGAGGCCCGGATGTCGAGGAAGTACCGGGCGTTGGTTCTCCAAGAGTGCAGCTTCGAGCCGTGAAGGGTGGATGGGTAAGATCAAATGCCTAGGTCACCGGCACCCAATCAGAACGCCCAAAGGCGAATTTTGAGGTCAAAAGGTTAGGTTGACAGCCTTCTCGATGGGTTAGGGATCTCGTCTGGTGGCCTTGGTTACGTTATCGAGCAGCCCACCTTGTACTCCCATGCTCTCGACCAGGCCTGGCTGCCCCTCCCCCTCCCTTCCACTCGAACCCCTGACCCTGATGTTGCTGCAGGTGGACGAAAAGAGGGTTGTTGATGACATAGGTGAGCCTGTTCTCAATCTTATTGCGTTTCGCACTGGATAGGATTTTATGGAACTGTCTTTTTCGACTCCTCTTATATGGGGCTAGGGGTGGTATATGCTAGACATCGTACGTCGAAATGGGGGCAGTAAGATGGAGAGATGCACGACATGATACAGTCAAGTAGATAGATACGCATGTCTTGATCTTCCAGACCTACAAGGGGTCGAATATGGCAGTGTGGGGGGGAAAAGACAAAAGAACTCACTGTACCATGTCATGTTTCCAGTTTGTCTACGTCCAAAGATTAAGTCTCCAATAAGCCGACGTGACGAAAACAGAGCTGATCGTAACAGATGCCTGCCTAACGTATTGCGTGTGGGCTTAGTGGGTTGAAGAGGGCAGCCGTGGATGTAAAATTTGATATTTGAGTCGTAGTGGGTTTGAGAGGCAAGGCGTGTTAAGCACATGGATTTTGAGGCGTCGGAAAGATTCTAGGCCTTTTGTGCATTGGGGTCTAGAAACGACTGCAACGTCTTGATTCATGCTGATGGAGGGAGTATTGGATCATCCAGTGTTGTCTAAGCCGTCCGTCACCATGTAGTGAGAAGTGAGTGGGCGTTGAGCCAATGGTAACCTGTACATACCACCATAATTGAGTGTGACGAATGACTAAGGTTGGTGCTGGCGAAAACCCATTCTTGAAAACAGAGATTTCTCAAGTGAGCTCTTTTGTTGGCTTGTTGGTTCGACTTCTCCAACTCTGTGGTGCCACATTCCCCAGTCACAGCTGACGGGAGGATGAACCAATGCGACAGCATGAGTCAAGACGCATTGGGTAATGACGGCGATCAATAGTCCGCAGGAAAATGCCCGGGAATATGGCATAGAGGTAGATGGCCTCCGATCCCGTCAAAACTGTCGTTGGGACATGGCGGCATTGAAAAAGACCCCAGGCCTGGCCCAGGGACGGACGGGCGACGGCGGGCAACGCCGAGCAAGGGGAGACATGCGATGATGGGCGGGCTACAAGCGCCGACAGCGCGACGGAAAATATAGCGTAAAAATGCACCGGCGCTGGCGGCGACTGAGAATAATGATAAGAGGGCTGGTTAGCTGTTTCTTTGCATTTGTGTGTGTTCAGAGGAGCATGGCGAAAAGGCCGTGCGATGATAAGCTGCCGCGGTCATGTAGCATGGAAAAACCTGGTCGATGGATGCACGCCCTGTCTGTACGCACGGTCGTTGACATGTCAGAATAGACAGACTCTGTTGCGACCAAAATGTCGTCTTACAGATACAAACACAAAGTACTGGCGAAAAGCAACAGACGAGGGTCGCAAGGACTATCATTGTATACTTTGGGGGTGGAACAAAGATGCCCGTGGCGATCTGGGCCCTCAAATTATCTTGAAAAAATAAAAATAAAACAAAAGAGGGCCTTCACCAGCTCGCGCACTAAAAGGAAAGAGCAGTGGTCAATCAGTGGTGATGCGGACGTGCCTGAGGTGCTCTTTCCTTCTTGGCTGAGAGAAGAAGAGCAGGAAAAGGTGCCCTCAAGGTGGTGCTTTCCCCTGGGAGTGTGTGAATAGCACTGTCAGTGGGGAAGGACTTCAACGCACGGGCGGCCGCTGTATCCCCACGAGCTACTTGGGTATCTTTTTTTTTTCCCCTCTTTAGAGAAGAAGGAACTCTGTCTCTCTCCCGTCCCTTCTCATCCACAATTGCCCCTGCCTAAGATAGCAACATTAGTTACTACCAATGAGCAAACCAACCAACCGACCACCCAAAAAGAGAGGGAAAGAGGGGGCAAAAAAGAGGAGATGCGTCCTACGAAAGGAACCGAATTCAACTGTCTCATTGCGTCAGGCGCTGCCGCAGTAAGCAACAGCAGACTCAACACACCTCTATGTGAATACGATGTCGAAACGCGCAATCGCTCTCCACTGACAATCACATCTCAGCTTTTCCACTCGACAAACTCCCCCGTCAACTTTCATCACATCATGTCATCTTCGCGCCCTCAGTCTCCATGTGTCTGCCGCACTTTTGTTTCTCTTTTTAGGAATATCAACCAGCAGGTCTCTCCTTCGTGCAGACTTCCGTTGGATGAGCGAAAGAGATGAAAGAAGACATGGTTTCCTCAATGCAACCCATCCCTGCTCGCCGCCACGCTTATCCTCTTCCTCTTGGACCTGCGTCTGCACCATCCATGCAGACTAGGATCACTCCAGAGGGAGGGGGTGGGGTGAGCGACGATGTCTTTCCTATCAACGTCCCACAGATTACCCATACACACTAGCCACTCCTGGCCTTTCTGCGCATACGTCGATACTTTACACTACAATACCACCCCTCACTGCCAGTTCGGGATATCTAGTGATCTCGGTGTTTGACTCTTTTTTGAGATCTGGAGGTACTTTGGGGGATTCACCTTGCCGCGGTGGAGGCTCCGTCAACGCTTCTTGTCGGCTTCGAACGACTATGGCCCCCATGACCTCACCTGGCCCAACGACATTTCACGATATCATGTCGGCTTCGCCGT